GACTCCACGTGGACTGAGGGCTCCAGGGCGGACAGAGAAGAGACACCACCTGACCGCCACCATCAGTACAAGGTGGACAGAGAGCTCGCGGCTGTGAGCCTCCGACCTCATTTCTTCAACGTCCAATACTCACCAAGCATCTTCCAAATGCTGGGGCCCTGGACCAAGTCCCGGCTCACCAGCACAGAGCATACGTGTTAGATGGACATCAGCGCTACGGACAAAAATAAACCTAGGGTGGAGGAAGGGTTTCAATTTTTAATGGACTGATGAGGAAAGAACTCACTTTCAGCTGACATTTAGTAGGGTGAGGCTGAGTCTCACTGCTGGGAAGCACCTTCCAGGGAGAGGGACGGCAAGGACAGATGCCCTGAGGCAGACCTGCCTGGTGGAGGGAGGTGATGTGGAGACAGGCTTAGGCAGCCATGGCCAAGGACCTGCTTTTTTTCGTTTGGAGTGGGATGGGAACCCTGGGAGGGTTCTGAGCAGGCTTAAAGCCACTGGACTTAGTTCCAAAAGGATGCCTCTCCACTGGGTCAAGAACAGACCCAAGTGTGGCAAGGGTGGAAGCTACTGCAGGAGTCCAAGAAGGACGAGCGGTTTCGTCAGGAAATAGGTCAGGTTCACGTCTGCAGACTGAGGAAAGCTGGAGGCAAGGGTGTCTCCATCAGGATCTGTGTTGGGGTGAGCCAAGGCAGCCGCTGGAGGCAGGGCTCCTACCCTGAAACAAACGGGGCCTCTGGAGAAAGATGCCCTTGGCCACAGAGCTCTGGTGTGGGGACAGGGAACAGGCTGCGGTCTCAGGACACGGTCTCCAGAATGGTAGGGACCAGGGGTCTACTCAACACTGGATCCTCAATCCATTGCATATTGGCTGGCACATGGCAGGTATGCAGGAAACGGGTCAAGGCAGTGACAGTGGAGACCCTTTCCCCAGGGGAGCCTCAGTGACTCCATCTGTAAAGTGGGAGTGACACCTGCTGTGGTGTCCAGGGTAGTTGGGATGAGAAATGGCCGTAAGTATGTACATGAGTACACACACACAGTGCTTACCTTCTAGAAGACAGAACACTGAGACCTACTGAGCACTTGCCATGTGCAACCCCTGCTCAGCCCTTTGCTTGCCTTAATCTGCTGAGTTTTGACAAGAGGCACAGAGAGGTCCAGTTCCTTGCCCAGAGCCACACAGTGAGGTACGACCCATGAGCCATCACCAGTTTTCTTAAACACCGGGAGGCAGGCAGGCAAGGGTAGGAAACCGGGAGAACCTATTCTAGCTCCCCAGAATGGGAGACAGGATCTCCTGGGGAAGATGGGGCGTGGGGGTGAAGTGAAGAGGCGGCAGCAATGAGGAGTGATCAGGGGAGCACTGCGGTGGGGGGTCTCGAGGGGCAGAAGTGGTGACTGGGAGCAGAGAGCAGGTAGGGGACGCAGGCTGGAGGACAGACGGAGCCAGGAGGAATGGGGCACTCACAGTCCAGCAGGGGCAAACAGGTGGCTGTCCAGGTTCCTAGCCAGGAACGGGCTGTTTAACAGTCTGGACCTGTGAGGACGCCGGATCTGCGTCCGTGCCCAAGACCAGCAGCTCCTGCTTCACGGTGGGTACACTCCTGCCCCACAGCTCCATCCACTTCACTCCTGGGGGCCTAGTCCTTAATCCCTGGGGGAAGCGGCCCCAACCCGCCTCCCACTTCCGTCAGTCTTCAGCCCTCCCCCCCCTCCGCCGGGTCCACAGCCAAGTCCCAGACGATGAAGCCCCACACAGCACACCCCTTCCCCTGCACAGGCCACAGGTGCTGCAGGAGGTAGACCCTTGGCCTGGATCCCCAGCCCTTAGATTTGGGCTCTAAAAGGTCTTTCTTGAAACAGTCATGTGTCCACAAAGAGACTGGGATTGTGAGGACCCTAGTGGAGGTTCCCTGTTGAACACACTCATCTGCTGCATGGTCACACCTCTGATGTGTTCAACACAAGAACCTGGGCCAAGCCCCATCCCTGAGAGGCAGGAATGCTGGGACGGAGCTCCCCTGACCCAGATCTGCTTCCTCCAGTCCCAAGACACCATGACTTGTATGGTAACAGCAGGTGGGGAGGGCGTGCTAGGACACGCAGGTGCACACACGTGGGGCAGAGCCCCAGGATGGCAGACAGGAGGCCCAGGTGAGGAGGTTGACACCTTTATTGCTTTAGAGGCAGGGGCAGGTGCTCAGGAACTCTTGGTGGGGCGGGCCCGCTTCCTCTTCACCATCACGGGCTTCTGGCTGCGCAGGATGGCGCTGGCTCTGCGAATGGCAGCCTGGAGAGACAGGTAGAAGGCTCAGCACGCCCGCCCACACCCGAGTGCGGGTCCAGCCATCAGCAGAGACCCTCCTCGTAGGACGGGCCAGGCTCCCCCAACCACTGCTGGCCCCCACTCACCATGCGCAGGTCTGGGCGGTACTTGTTCTTGCGGATCATGTGCCGGATGCTGCTGAGGGTGGCCCGGGCATTCTTGTTGATGGTGGTTCGAACGTAGGAGGTGGCGGGTTTCCGCTGGCCTGGGGGAAGGGGATGGGGGTGGTGGCGGGGGTGGTGGCAGGGGTGAGTGTGATGGTGCACTCCCCCTGGGAACCTGAGCCCCCAGGCTGTGAGCCTGGGCAGGCCACTCCCTGCAGCCAGCCCCATCCACCCACTGAATCCCCAGGCCAGGCCAGGCCCAGCCTTGAGGCCTGCAGCGGGTCTTCTCCTGTGTCCCTGACAGAAGGTTCATCAAGTCACTTCTCAGAGAGCAAAGCAGAGCAACGGAATGAGGACTCTTGTCCAAAGTCACAGGCACACAGCGGTCATCTGACCACAGCCTGCCTGCCTGGCTCCAGGGCAGGACACTGGCCAGGCAGCAAGTGCCCGTGAGACTGCAGCTCTGGTCTCCTCCTGCCTGCCCCCCAGGGCCCAAGCTACCCCATGTGGAACAAGGGTCTGAAGCTTTGAGGCTCGGGCCTGGATGCTGGAGAACCAGGAAGGCCTCAGGTAAGGCCAGGGTGAGGAGGAGCCCTGCAGAAAGCACCTGCCCACCCCCCATCCGTGCACAGGTGGAGCCTGGACCCCACTGCCCCTGGATCAGAAGGAAAGCACCCCCTTCCTGTGTGCAAAGCTGCCAGCCTCATTCAGGACGTGAAGCAGGACGGAATCCACGGGGTCTTGGCGAGAGTCCTGTGCCCCAAGTAACAGACGGGGAAGGTCTCACCCAAAAACCAAGGACCCTCCAGCACGGCAGTGACTTTCAAGGTCGGCCCGCCCCGTCCCCGACCCCAGCCCAGGAGCACGGTCAGTCCAGGTCCTGACAGCCCAGGAGAGGCCACCCAACAACCCGAGACGGGCAAGTGAGGTTTCCAGGGCCCAGAGCACCAGAACGGTGTTCTCAGAAGCGAGAGAATCCCAGGGGCTCACTGGTGAGCTGAGAAGGGAGCGTAACCCCCTGCAGGGTGGGCAGCGGCCCGATCAAGAGCCAGGTCCCGGACACTGCTGTCCCTGCGCGGGTGCTGGGCTCAAACGCAAACAGAAAGCAGCCCTAATGCGAGGCCAAGAGAAACCCCAGAAAGCAAAGCTGGCGGGGCCGAGATGCCGCAGGCCTCCAGCGCCCCTGCCTCTGGGCTCCCGGGTCCCCCTGACCCTCTGAGACACCAAAAGCCCGTCCAGCGGGGGCGGGACTCGCGCGGCCGCTCCTGAACGCGCACAGCAGGCCGGGGGTCCCACCGCGGCCGCTCCGAGCGGACACCGAGCCTGCCCGTCCTCACCGGCGGGACCCCGGGGACAGCTCCGCGCCTGACCCGCCTCGCGATTTCCCGGGCCGAGGGCCCCCCTTGAGCCCGCCGGCCGCCCGCCGCAGGCGGAGCGACGCCCAGCAGGTGGGTGCTCACCGGACCTCCGCTTCAGGACCACCACCACGCCTTTACCGTCGGCCGCCGGCTCCACGCCCACGGTCTTGCGGTGAATCAGCCCGTTGTAGCGGAACGAGTTGCGAGCCTTCAGGTTGTTGGGCTCCTGGGGAGGGGGGCGCAGCGGGGCCGTGAGGCGGGGCGGGGGGCGGGGGGCAGCCGCCCCAGGCCCAGGCCCAGGCCCCGAGCCCCACTTACAGTGCTGTAGGTCTGCTTGTTCCTCTTGATCAGGAAGCTGGAGCAGTTCCGCACGACCATCCACTGCAGGTGCGCGGACATGGCGGCGCTGCGGGGAGGGCGGCAGGGGAGGCTGTCAGAGGGCGCGGCGGGCCGGCGGCCCACCCGCGTGGCAGCGGCAGGGGCACCCGCAGGGCGCACGGCGACCCCAGGCGGGGGCTGAACTCAGGCGGGGGATGCAGGGGGAGAGAACGTGAGGAGCCGCAGCGACCTCCGGCGGCGGGCTCGGGGGCGGCCACAGAGGCCAGGCAAGGGCAGGGGCGCCGGGCCTCGGGAAGACGAGGCAACCACGCGGGCGGCGGAGAACCGCGCGCTCACCTCCTCTCGCGACGGCAGCCGGAGACGGAAAGAGGCAAGCAAGGGGCGGGGCGGCGCCTTTAATAGCCACACGCATTTCCGCTTCCTCTGTGGGCACGCGCATGCCCTCGCCTGTCCCCGCCTCCTCCCGGGGCGGCTCGGTAACGTTCGGCCGCTTCCGCCAGCCTGTCGCCGATCGCTCGGAGACCTTCGGAACTCTTCGGCTAGTAACGCTGGGGCGTGTTCTCGGAGGCGGAGCACCACCCTTCCGAGGGCCCTTCGTGTGTTTTCGGAACGGCAGCGCTGGATTTCCGAGTGGGTCCAGTTGGAGAAGCCCCAAGTCCCCTTCCGCAGGGGTTTCTCTCCAGGGTCGCTCACCAGCGCTTTACACAGTATAGGCGCTCAATAAATATTTGTTTTACAAACGAACGTACGGATGCCTGACTTACTTAAGACGAGCTCCAGGGTCTTCGGATGCTTCCGGTCTTCTTCGCAAGCTCTCGGCTATTCCCGACGAAGGCCCGGAGGCCCTCTCGGGCGTTTTCGGAACCCTTCGGAGACGCCCTCCCGCGGGGTGGCCGCCCCCTCCTCCTGGCGCAAGCCCTTTCGGGTCTGTTCGGAAACACTCGTTTTCCATCCGGCCACGTTCGGAACTCTGCGGCTGACCCCGGCGGACGTCTCGGGTCGTCCTCCGCACGGTGATCTCAAACGGTTTAGAGTCTGGAGAGAAGCTAGGCGGAATGTCCTCGCAGCCTTGCACCCCAGGAGGGCGTGGATCCCCTCCAAGGGCGAGCCGTTTGGAGGGGAAGAGATTTGCATGGGAAAGCTCTCGGTTCCTTCCGCGGGCCGGAGCTGCTGCCCCTCCCCCGTCCTCCCCCTCCGGCCTGCCCGCTGCCGCACCCCATGAACTCCCCAGAAGGTTATTTTCTGTTGTCGCGGTCCTCTTTAGGGGCGGGAGCCCTGCCTGAGGTATCCGCGGGTCTTCAGCCCTCGGCAGCAGGGGCTGGGCGCTTGGGGGGCCTCCGGAGACCCGGGCTCAGCAAAAGGAACGGCACGGCCCCTGTGGCCCCCACGAGTGCACCTGATCTGGGACCGTGTCCGGGAGCTCCGCGAGGGCGGGGGCCTCGTCTGCTCCCTCCCGGCTCGTGGGCTTCGCCCCTAGGGAGTCCCGGCCGCCCAGACGCACTAGGAGAAGCCTGGGGGACTGCCCCGCTGCCCCCGGCACGGCACCCAAATCTGGCGGTGGCGCGCAGAGTGTTGGGAGAGCCACCGCTTCCCAGGGGCGCACGGGCGGCCCCGGGTGACAGGCAATGAGCGAGAGAAATCTCAGCTCCCCAGAGCCCCCCCGTGTTTGCTCCACTAGAGCGCCCTGCCTGCTGACTGCGCGTCCCGGGGCTCTGGGTCCGGGAGCCTTGTCTGATCCTTGTTTCTTGACACGCCACGGGGCCTGGGGCGCAGGGGGCCCCTGGAGCAGGCACTGAACGGAAAAGACGTCCGGGCTCCCGCAGCACCCCACGCTGCCTCCATAAGGCACCCTGAATTTTAAATGTGTTCCATCGCGCTCCTTGGTGTCCGTAAGGCCCCTCCCACCGTTATCCGGGAGCCGGGCTGCCCCCAGCACAGGCCTCGGAGGGCCGACCTGCCAGAATCCAAGGCCAGGGCACCCCCCAAGTCGGGCCCGTGTGCACCCCAGCCAGCTCAGGTGACCAGGCGGGCGCCGGGCTCACCTGGCGCCGTCCCCTGACCCCGCCCCGGCCGGGCCGCACCCCGGAACGCTCTCTGGGGGAGCCCGCGCGGCAGAGCAGGGCCATGGCAGCGGCGCCAGCCGTGGGCGCCGCGCAGGGGCCCCCGCCGGGCGCCCCGTCCCCGCCGGCCGGCGCGCCCGGGCCTGCGTCCGGCCTGGGCCGCTGCCGGGTGGCGCTGCTGCTGGCCGTGGCGCTGGACGTGGCGGGCATGGCGGCGCTGCTGACCGGCGTGTTCGCGCAGCTGCAGGTGCGCGGCCGCGACTTCGGCGACCTGCTCATCTACTCGGGCGCGCTGCTCGTCTTCCTGAGCCTGCTCGGCTGGATCCTCTGGTACACCGGCAACATCGAGATCTCGCGCCAGGAGCTCGAGCGCGACTACGGCCTGCGGCCCTCGGCTCTGGCCCGCCTGGCGCGCAAGCTCTCCCGCCGCTGGTCTGCGCCGGCCTCCTCCTCGGGCCCGCGCGGCGCGCCCGGCTCTCTAGGAACGCGCCGTGCCGCCCGCGCGCCCCCGCCGCCCGCCGCCGGCTCCCGCCGCGTGCGCCTGCAGCTCGCTACGCTCGAGGCCGGGCCCGGGGCGGCGGGCGCGGGCACCGAGTGAGCCCGAGGTGAGGGGTGGGGCAGCGAGTGAGGCGGCAGGGCGAGTTGGAGAGCTGGAGAGACAGAGGGGGAGAGCTGGAGAGACAGAGGGGGAGAGCTGGAGAGACAGAGGGGGAGAGCTGGAGAGACAGAGGGGGAGAGCTGGAGAAACGAGGAGAGGTGGAGAGACAGGGGGAGAGATGGAGAGACGGGGGAGAGATGGAGAGACAGAGGGGGAGATGGAGAGACGGGGGAGAGATGGAGAGACAGAGGGGGAGAGCTGGAGAAACGGGGAGAGGTGGAGAGACAGGGGGAGAGATGGAGAGACGGGGAGAGAGATGGAGAGACGGGGGAGAGCTGGAGAGACAGAGGGGGAGAGCTGGAGAGACAGAGGGGGAGAGATGGAGAGACGGGGGAGAGATGGAGAGACAGAGGGGGAGAGCTGGAGAAACGGGGAGAGGTGGAGAGACGGGGGGAGAGATGGAGAGACGGGGGAGAGATGGAGAGACAGAGGGGGAGATGGAGAGACAGAGGGGGAGAGCTGGAGAAACGGGGAGAGGTGGAGAGAGGGGGAGAGATGGAGAGACAGAGGGGGAGAGCTGGAGAGACGGGGGAGAGATGGAGAGACGGGGGGAGAGATGGAGAGACGGGGGAGAGATGGAGAGACAGAGGGGGAGAGATGGAGAGACGGGGTGAGATGGAGAGACGGGGAGAGATGGAGAGACAGAGGGGGAGAGCTGGAGAAACGGGGAGAGGTGGAGAGACAGGGGGAGAGATGGAGAGACGGGGGAGAGATGGAGAGACAAGGGAGAGATGGAGAGACGGGGAGAGGTGGAGAGACGGGGGAGAGATGGAGAGACAGAGGGGGAGAGCTGGAGAAACGGGGAGAGGTGGAGAGACAGGGGGAGAGCTGGAGAAACGGGGAGAGGTGGAGAGACAGGGGGAGAGATGGAGAGACAGAGGGGGAGAGCTGGAGAAACGGGGTGAGATGGAGAGAGGGGGAGAGGTGGAGAGACGGGGAGAGATGGAGAGACAGAGGAGGAGAGCTGGAGAGACGGGGGAGAGATGGAGAGACGGGGGGAGATGGAGAGACAGAGGGGGAGAGATGGAGAGACGGGGTGAGATGGAGAGACGGGGAGAGATGGAGAGACGGGGGAGAGATGGAGAGACAGAGGGGGAGAGCTGGAGAAACGGGGTGAGGTGGAGAGACGGGGAGAGATGGAGAGACAGAGGGGGAGAGATGGAGAGACGGGGGAGAGATGGAGAGACGGGGGGAGAGATGGAGAGACGGGGGAGAGATGGAGAGACAGAGGGGGAGAGATGGAGAGACGGGGTGAGATGGAGAGACGGGGAGAGATGGAGAGACGGGGGAGAGATGGAGAGACAGAGGGGGAGAGCTGGAGAAACGGGGTGAGGTGGAGAGACGGGGAGAGATGGAGAGACAGAGGGGGAGAGATGGAGAGACGGGGTGAGATGGAGAGACGGGGAGAGATGGAGAGACGGGGGAGAGATGGAGAGACAGAGGGGGAGAGCTGGAGAAACGGGGTGAGGTGGAGAGACGGGGAGAGATGGAGAGACAGAGGGGGAGAGCTGGACAGTCGGGGGGAGAGATGGAGAGACAGAGGGGGAGATGGAGAGACAGAGGGGGAGAGCTGGAGAAACGGGGAGAGGTGGAGAGACGGGGGGAGAGATGGAGAGACGGGGAGAGAGATGGAGAGACGGGGGAGACATGGAGAGACAGAGGGAGAGAGCTGGAGAAACGGGGTGAGATGGAGAGGGGGGGAGAGATGGAGAGACGGGGGAGAGATGGAGAGACGGGGGAGAGATGGAGAGACAGAGGGGAAGAGCTGGAGAAACGGGGTGAGATGGAGAGACGGGGAGAGATGGAGAGATGGGGGGAGAGATGGAGAGACGGGGGAGAGCTGGACAGTCGGGGGGAGAGATGGAGAAACAGAGGGGGAGAGCTGGAGAAACGGGGAGAGTTGGAGAGACAGGGGGAGAGATGGAGAGACGGGGGAGAGATGGAGAGACGGGGAGAGAGATGGAGAGACAGGGAAAGAGCTGGACAGACCGGGGGGGGGAAAGATGGAGAGACGGGGAGAGATGAGGGGGGAAGCTGGAGAGAGACGGGGAGAGATGAGGGGGGAAGCTGGAGAGAGACGGGGAGAGCTGGGAAGAGATATGGGGGTGGAAATAGAGGAGAGATGGAGAGATAGGGAGGGAGAGGGACAATGGGGAGGGAAAGACAAAGGACCAGATCAAAATGAGGGAGGAGAGCAGCAGGGCCCAGAGGATGGAGCCTTGGACAGCAGGCATGAGCACAGACTTGGAAGAGACAAAGAGACCTGGCCCCCCAGATGAGGCCTAGAGAGCCACTACTCACTCCCCCCACACTTGGAGACCCCTCTCTGCACTCCAGCCCCCCAGAGCACCAGGTCCCATTTAATCCTCTCCCTGTAACTGGGTCTCGGGGGTCACTGCTAGTACCATCCCCATCCCGTGGAGGACATTGAGGCCCAGAAAGGTGCCACCTCTTGCCCAAGGGCACACAGCTAGGATTCTTCTGAGAGAGAGGGAAAGAGCGAGAATACCAGGAGTGTGAGATGCAGGGAAGGCTTTGCTGCTCATTCCTTCCCTTTTCTCTCTCCTGTCTTCTATCCCCTTTCCTAAACACACACTCTCCAGCTTGCACTCCTTTGCTCAAACACCTGCTGTGGCTCCCTATTGCCCTCTGATGAAATCCCCCGCCACTCACTGTCTGTGGGCCCTACATGTTTCAGCCCCACATCTCCTGCCTTCTTTGCAGTTATGATGGCATCCCTCAGTCCATTCTCCCCTACAGCAGGAGTGCCCTTGCTGTCCGTACTCCACATGGAAAACATCCTTTGTGTCCATTAAGATCCAACGCAACTTTGTAGCCTTTCTCTGGGTCTTCGTATTGTCTGAGTTACCCCCGTTATTGCTTGTTGTCTGTCTTGTGGTGTCTCTGCTGGGACTGCCTGTCCCGCTGGACAGGGAGCATCCTGATGGTAAGGCCTGGGTCTCTGGTGTCTTCATTCTTAGCATTGCTCTGCAAAAAGCTCAGGAAGTCAGAGAAGTGTGACTGGGTCGGTGGGTGGATGCGTGGATGGACGGATGGGTTGTTTGACGGGTGGATGGATTGGCTGGTGGATGAGTGGACAGACTGGTGAATGGGTGGGCGGATAGAGGAATGAATGTTCAATTGGTGGATGGATGAATTGGTGGATGGATGGATATGGTTAGACTGATGAATTGGTAAGATTCATCAGAATTGGGGAACAGGTGATTTGGGCAGATAGGATGGTAGCTGAGAGAATGGATAGGTTGGCCAATGGGTAGATAGAGAGGAGGAACAATGTCAACAATGGATGAGTGACTGACTCAGTTTCTCGGATGGGAGTTCTGTAAAAGAATTAAATCCTGACGTGCTAAGACCTTCTCTGTATGTGATGAATTTAACTTTTCTCCTGTGCATCCAGAATGGGACTAGTTATACACCCTTCTTCGTGAGAACTGAGAAAATAGTCACTCCAATCGTCAGCTGCGTTCTGTAGCTCAGAGGAGGAGACGGGTTTAAGACAAGATGTATGCGTAGATGAGGAGGCATCAGCTCACACAAAATTTGGCACAGAAATTAGAACCACCCACCAGCGGTGAAAATCCTTTACCTTGCCCAGAAGTCTAACACAGCTGGGCAGATCTCCCGCTGGAACCACCTGCCAGAAATGTGAGCCAAGCTGGCTGGAGTGTAGGCCCCTCTTCGAACGAAGACAGGCCTGTTCAAACCCAGGACTCCTTAGTGGGTGGGGTGAAGTGCTTCCAGCACACGAAGGACAGAGAACTTGAATTTTAACACAGGGACCTGAAGATTCTGGCTCGGGTCGCTCCCTACCCCCTCTGGGACCAAAATGAATGGAGTAGACAGAGCCACCCGGCAGAAGCCATTATGTTTTGTTTTCTTTCTCCGTGTCTGTCTCTGTCTCTGTCTCCGGTGTCTCTTTGTCTCTGTACCCATCGTTCCCTCTACATGTTCATCTGTCCTCTCTGACTTCCTGTCTCTCCTTCTCCAGCTTGTACCTCTGGACCCCGGTGAGGCAAATACGCTGCAGCAGATGGGGGCATGGAGGGGTGGAGGAGCAATTGAGCAGGTGTGTGAGTCAATGTATGAGGGGCTAAAGCAGGAAGAAGGGGCTCCCTTCCCCTGCCCCTCAGGCCGCTGGGCGGGGGGCCCCGGGAATGCATGGGTCCTGGGAGGGGTCCCGCACCACCACTAACCCCACCCTTCCTCCTGCAGATGGACCCACGGACCCACCTGTCAGGACTGGACTGCGGTGTGCAGTTACGCCCACCATCATCTGGGCCACCAGGATGCCTACCTGTCCGCCCCATCCTCCTCTGGATAAATGGCTCTGCCTCATAGCACTGTGTGTCTGTCTGGGAGAGGGACAGTACTGGGGCCAGGCCACACCCGCAGAAGGGCCACCCACGCCCTTGGGGACCTTGGAGCCCAGCTTCACATTGGCCCTCATGGAGGGGCATGGGAGAGTGGTGCCAGGATCTTGAGCCCAGACCCACCCCTTCAGTCCAGACGCCCCTCAGCCTATGCCCCTCGGTTGGTGTGGGGGTCCTCCAAGCAGCAGACAGAGGGACAAATTAGACTCACAGGGTATTTATTGGGAGGAAGTACCTTTAAAAAAAAAAGATTTATTTATTTATTTTAGAGGGGGAGGGGCCGAGGGAGAGGGAGAGCGAGAGAATCTCAAGCAGACTCCCCGCCCAGCAAGGAGCCTAGCAGGGGGCTTGATCTCACGACCCTGAGATCATGACCCTGAGATCATGACATGAGCCGAAATCGAGAGTCCGCCCCCGCTGAGCCACCCAGGCACCCAGGAAGGAAGTACTTATGGAGGGTACTTGGTATGGGTGTGGCACCTGAGGAAGGCGGGAGGGTTGGGCAACACAAGTCTTGTACTGTACGCACGTCCAGGAGAATTTCCACCCGGGCACTGGAGAGTCTGAGAGTAACGTCGTCCACTGGCGGTGGCCCATGTCCCGCAGGGAGCCCTGCCATGCTCGGGCATCGGTGGGAGGCATGGCACCGTGCTGGCGGAGGGCGGGATCCCAAGGGTCCACGGCGAAGGCTGTCCATCAATGGTGCTCCCGCAGGAGGGCTGCGGGCCACCCCCACTGACCCACCCCTCCCTGGTTCCAGACCCCACTCAGCCCAGCACCCCCATGATCACAGCCCAGTTCCCGGCCCCCTCATGCACACACGCACACACACACACTCCCTGCCCCAGAGCTCATGAGCCCTCTGCTCCCATGGTTCTTAGAAAAGAGACCACGTGTCTATATGCTATGTCTGTATTGAGGGGTCCCCCCGGGGGTGCCCCTAATCTTCGTCCTCCCCCCCTTCTGTTTCATCACCCCCTTCTGTCGTCCCTTCCCCTTCGGTGGCCCCTGACACATCCGTGGCCCCCTCCAGAGGAAGGGAGTTTGGCATGCTGCCAGCCGATGCCTTTTTTTGGCTCGAAGTCCCCCGGTCCTTGGATAACAGAGAGACGGTCCTCGACAGGTCACATTTGCCCTTTAAGAACACTGGAAGGTGCAGCATATCGCGGCGCTTGGCCCACCTGACCGGGAGGGCATACACTCAGCCTTGACCGTCTGCCTGCTCCTCTGGGGGTGTGGGAGCCCACCCTCAGCCCCAACCCCACTTGCCAGAACAAGCAGATGCTGGAGATCAGGAAGAGGAGGCCTCCACATGTCCAGCCCAGCGCCCACATGTGCTTTCTCCGCATGGTTTCTGGGCAAAGGAGGCAGGTTTGAGACCCAGGAGACTCAGCTGCCCCGGGGGCCCGGCTTCCAGGCACTCACCATCTGGCCGCTGGTGGTAGCAGACCCCGTCACGGTAGCAGCATCGAAGACGCAGACAGAGATTGGGGTTCTCGATTGCCGCCTGGCCCCCACAGCTCTCCCGGTCCCATACATCTCCCTCACAGCCTTGGGACCAACCACAGTGGAAGCTGTGTCACAGAGTCTGACCCGAGGGCCTCAGAACCCCAGGGTCCCAAAGTCAGGCTCCGGGATTGCCTGCCTAGTGCTTACTCTGTGCAGGAACCAGGGGTCCAGGCCCCGGCCCTGGTCCCTCAGACCGAGGGGTCCAGGCCCCCAGCCCCTCCTCCCTCAGACCCAGGAGTCCAGCTCCCAGGCCCTCCTCCCTCAGACCCAGGAGTCCAGACTCCCAGATCCTCCTCCCTCAGACCCAGGAGTCCAGGCTCCCAACCCCTCGTCCCTCAGACCCAGGAGTCCTGGTCCCCAGCCCCTCTTCCCTCAGACCCAGGAGTCCAGACCCCCCAGCCCCTCCTCCTCCCTCAGACCAGGAGTCCAGACTCCCAGATCCTCCTCCCTCAGACCCAGGAGTCCAGGCCCACAGCCCCTCGTCCCTCAGACGCAGGAGTCCTGGTCCCCAGCCCCTCTTCCCTCAGACCCAGGAGTCCTGGTCCCCAGCCCCTCCTCCCTCAGACCCAGGAGTCCAGACCCCCAGCCCCTCCTCCTCCCTCAGACCCAGGAGTCCAGACCCCCAGCCCCTCCTCCCTCAGACCCAGGAGTCCAGACCCCCAGTCCCTCCTCCCTCAGACCCAGGAGTCCAGACCCCCAGCCCCTCCTCCTCCCTCAGATCCAGGAGTCCAGGCCCCCAGCCCCCTCCTCCCTCAGACCCAGGAGTCCTCACCCCCAGCCCCTCCTCCCTCAGGCCCAGGAGTCCAGACCCCCAGCCCTCCTCCCTCAGACCCAGGAGTCCAGCCCCCAGGCCCTCCTCCCTCAGACCCAGGAGTCCAGCCCCCAGGCTCTCCTCCCTCAGACCCAGGAGTCCAGGCCCCCAGCCGCCTCCTCCCTCAGACCCAGGAGTCCAGGCCCCCAGCCCCTCCTCCCTCAGACCCAGGAGTCCAGGCCCCCAGCCCCTCCTCCCTCAGACCCAGGAGTCCAGCCCCCGGGCCCTCCTCCCTCAGACCCAGGAGTCCAGCTCCCAGGCCCTCCTCCCTCAGACCCAGGAGTCCAGACCCCCAGCCCTCCTCCCTCAGACCCAGGAGTCCAGCCCCCAGGCCCTCCTCCCTCAGACCCAGGAGTCCAGACTCCCAGCCCCTCCTCCCTCAGACCCAGGAGTCCAGCCCCCAGCCCCTCCTCCCTCAGACCCAGGATCTGGCTCCCAGCCCATTCTTCCTTTAGATTCAAGAGTCTAGTCTGGGCTCCCTGTCCTTGAGGGACCCCGGTTTCATCCACTGCTCACTCCATGGATAGAAGAATCCCTGGATTCCATTCCCATCTGTGGAGAAAAAGGATCGGTGTTGAAGGGGGCTGTTATGGAGGCTGAAGAGGCTCCCTGTTCAGCTCTCTGACCCTCTCTTCAGCCCCCTCACCTACTGAGCCCTGCATCAGCAGGAAGAAGCTCAAAGCTGGGATCCCAGAGACCACCATGTTGCCTCCCCAGACCCTTCAGGCCTCTGTGGGGACAGACTTTGAAGGCCATCACCCCAGCAACCAGCTGGGCCCCACCCACCTGCCCACCCAGCTTTCAAGGTTCTAAGTTCTGTTGCTAGGGAGCCCCCTTAGCAGTGGGGAAGGAGGAAGGGGGGGGTCACACTGGCCTGGTCATGCCTGGTTGTTAAGAAGTTGCTTCCTTAGCAACCAGGTGGAAGGATCCATGGGGGTGGGGGTGGGGGCCTGGGCATAAAAAGAGCCTCCTTAGCAACTTGGGCAGAAAGTGGGTGGTGGTCTAAGGCACCTTGTCCTTGCCAACCAGAGGACCCCAAGAGGTGGGGCCTGGGAGACCTTCCTGCCAAGGAATCCCTCTGCTTGGTAACCTGAAGCCTGCGGGGCAGCTCCAGGTGGCCCAGAGTCTCCTGAGACATCGTTGCCAGGGGTCTCCCCTCTAGCGGCAAGGGACAGGGGCCCCTCACTGAGCCCCATTGTTAGGGAGGCCTCCCTAACAACCGGGTGGCTAGGAGGACAAGGGAAAAATGGGGGTGGGGCCAGAGGCCAGAGCACTTGCTCAGGAGTCCTCTTGTCCCAAAGGCTCTCTAGGTCTCTCAGTGGAGAATGGATAGGGAATGTGTAAGGGGTCATGAAGATGTGAGGGCTGTGAGTGTGGCCGTGGGCAGGAAGACCCTTCTCCCTAGGCCTCAGTATCTCCACCCACAAACAGGGAAAGGGGGCCACGTGGAGGTCCTCAAGCTTCCCATTTGGTTCCCCTGAGTGGTGGAGGAGGACAGCTGGGGGCCGGGTTGGGACCAGGATCCCTAGTTCTCTCAGGTGAACCTCTACTCAGCTTTGCAGTACAGTGAGGAGGGGGCCTTCTGGGCAGTGTGGCTTTGGGGTCTGTCTGGACTCCTGGGTCTGAGGGAGGAGAGATTGGGGGTCTGGACTCCTGGGTCTGAGGGAGGAGGGTGCTGGGGCCTGGACTCCTGGATCTGAGGGAGGAGGGGCTGGGGGCCTGGACTCCTGGGTCTGAGGGAGGAGGGGGCTGGGGGTCTGGACTCCTGGGTCTGAGGGAGGAGGGGCTGGGGGCCTGCACTCCTGGGTCTGAGGGAGGAGGGGCCTGGGGGTCTGGACTCCTGGGTCTGAGGGAGGAGGGGCTGGGGGTCTGGACTCCTGGATCTGAGAGAGGAGGAGGCTGGGGGCCTGGACTCCTGGGTTTGAGGGAGGAGGGGCTGGGGGCCTGGACTCCTGGGTCTGAGGGAGGAGGGGCCTGGGGGTCTGGACTCCTGGGTCTGAGGGAGGAGGAGGGGGCTGGAGTCCTGGGTCTGAGGGAGGAGGGGCTGGGGGGTCTGGACTGCTGGGTCTGAGGGAGAAGGAGGCCAGGGCCCGGGTCTGAGGGCAGTTGTCCAGGAGTCCAGACCCCCTTTCTCAGGAAGCCCTGTGAGGCTGACTCCTGCCCTGCGCATCTCTTGTAAACATCCTGATGGGAGCTGAGCAGCCCTGGGCTGCCTCCGTCAGAGATGACACGGGTTAGAGGGGACTCAGCAGGGGGCCGGGGGTGGGGGGGTCATAGAGGTTGTGGGGCTGAGGCCAGCAGCTGATGACCATTTCCTGTGTCAACATCATCTGGACCCACTTTGCAATTCCCGGGATTCCTCAGGGATCAAGGAGGGGGTGGGGGGCGGGGCTGCCGGCCCTGGACCGCGGCTTGGGACTGGGGGGGCCCCCGCCGTCACGGCCCTCACCACTAATGACAGGTTTGGGCTGCTTCTGTGGCCCGCCTGCCCCGTCACCCCCCAGAGGCCAGACAGGACCCCCCAGGGACAGACAGACGGACACACACAGCCTCGGACCTGCTGACCTCACACCAGCCGGCCCTACCTCAGCCAGGGGCCAGCACAGGAGCAAGGACCCCTGGCTCCCTGCTCACATCCCAGTGGCATCTTCTCTCATGTCTGTGAGCCCCCCCCTCAGAGCCTTGGGCACTGTGTCTCCCCTGGTCCTTGTCTCTGAGCCTCTGAGCTTGTTTCTTTAGAACTTCTGTGTCTGTAGACCCCATTGTTTTACGACTTGGTCTTTTTCTCACTCTGGATGTCTGTGCTCGTCTCTGTGTCTGTGTCTTGGTGTCATCTTGTCACCTTTTTGTGATTCCCCAGTCCTGCCTGTCAGTGTGGGAGTGGGGGTACCCCATCCCTTCTTGCTCTCCTTGCAATGGAAGGAGCTTGAGTGCCCCCCCTGCCCCTGCCAGGGAAGACCCAGGATGCTGAGCAATCCCCTGACCTCTTGCCGTCACCCACCCCATCTTCCTCAGCCTCCTGCAGCCAGGAAAGATGGAATTAGGGGAAAGATGATCCCACAGCCTCAGGGAGCAGGCCAAGGCAAGGTGTGTGTGGGGGGGGCTGGCACAAGCCAGGTACACTGACCCAGCCCCAGACTCCTGACCTTTCCCATAGAGCATTCTCCAAACGGCAGAATGGCAACACCTTTCTCTCCACCTGGGAACCAGGGTTTAGGGTCTGGACACCTGCCATCTGGGTCTAAGGGAGGAGGGGGCTGGGGGTCCGGGATCCTGGGTTGAAGGAGAGGGTCTGGGGTGGCACCCCTAGTTCCCAGTAGGTGGAAGGGGCTGCCATTGCGAGATCCCTATTGTTGCTCTCAGACTGGCCCCGGGCCCAGTCCCTATCCCCTCGGGCCAGTCCATCCCCCAGGCTGGTGGCCTGAGTCACCTTGGCTGGCCCTGCTGGTCTGGGGGGGGGGCTACGTCAGTTCTCCCCTCACTGACGCAGCCTTGGGCCCCCCACGCTGACTCAGCCGGAAACAGGCCCCCTGAGGGGCGGAGACCCAGTGGTCAGAGGCCCGGGTCCCTGCGGGAGCGGGGGCTGGGGAGGGCCCCTGGGGGGCCCTGGAAGGGGTGGCCGTGACGGAGCAAGAGAGAGAGCTCTTACCTGAGGCAATGAGGTCATGTCCCACCATGGGGGGGCTGTGACCTCACCTCCCTGGGGACTTGAGCAGTCGTCCCCCACCCCCAGTGGTGGGGGATGGGAGGGGGAGGACTCTAGCCACCATTCATCCCCAGAGCCCCCCTGCCAGCTCAGCACAGTTTTGAGGGCCAGAAGGGGGCCTGCAGGGGGAACTTTGGAAGTCCTGTCACTTTGTCTTCTCACACCCATCCTGTCCTTGGTCCTTCGTTGGGAGGGGGGATGCTCCCGGGGATGGGGCTCTAGACTTGGTCCCTCACTGGCTCTGCCTCTGGCCCTGGCACCCATCAGGGTGCCTATGTCCCCACGGCTGTCCCGTCCTCCCTGCATCTCCTGCTCCAGTCCCTCTGTGCATTGCCATCTCTGCCCGGTCCCCATGCCCACTCCCTGGCTGAGCCACTCTCTCCGCGTGTTCTGTCACCCTCACTATCTTGCCCGCTGGCTCCCCATCTCCAACCCTCCCAGAGACCGCATCTTTCTCTGGGTCTCCCTGTATGTGTTAATAAAAATCAAGAAAGAGAATTGCAATGGTTCATATTTATTGACAGCTGACTGTGTGCCCTACACGAGTGAACTCATCTTTACCCAGGCATTGTGGGGGGCGGGGGGGATGGGTGTTCGGTTATCCACATTTCACAGATAAGGAAACTGAGGCACAGAGGGGGTGCAGCATCTGCGCAAGATCCCACCTCATCTGGGCGTCTCATGCCCTCTCTCGGTCCCCTGTCTCTGCTTCTCTCCCCACTTTCACATCGCCCCTGCCTGTCTCCCGGAGACTCTGCTCCTCTCTGTCCCCATTGCTCAGCACCTCCATCTCTGAGTATCTCTGGCTCCCTGCCTCTGTCTCTTGGGGCCTCTGCAGCTTTGTCACCATGTGTTTCTTCTGCCACCTGCCTCCCCTTTCTCTAAGCCTGCAACTCTCTGTCCCTTTTCCTCCTGGAGTCTCTGTGGGTCTCTCTGCTCCTGCAGTGTATCTACTCAGTGTCCCCATCTCTCCATGTGTCACTGTCTCTCTGTCTCTGCATTTCGGACTCTTCATCTCCACCTCAATGTCCCCATTCCTCCAAGCATCTCTGTGTCCTTGCTTGGGTCTCACACTCTCCAGCCCTCTCGCTTTCTCTGTCCCTTGGAGTGACTCTGCCTTGCACGTCCATCTCCCCAGGCCTGCGTCTTGTGGCTCTGTCCCCAGCTCTTCCCGTCCCTCTCTCCCCAGCCTCCCCACCTCTCCGCCCGCCGTCCTGGTCCAGCCGACCCCCGCCTGCAGCCTGCAGCCGGGCCCCAGCTCTCGAGCCGCGTGTGTCTGCCCCTGTGGCGGCCCGGCCGAGGAGGTGGAGGGAGGGGACGCCAATGACCTCACCAGCCCCTCTCCGACCACCCCCCCCTTTCTCTTTTCAACTTTTCCAACTTTTCCTTCCGTGCCCTCCTCTGAGCGAGGCAGCGTGAGCCCTGCGAGGCAGCCGGCTCCGTCTGAATGGAAAAGGCAGGCAGGGAGGGTGAGTCAGGATGTGTCAGGCTGCCCTCCCCTGCTGCCTGCCCCCCGCCCGCCCGCCCTGGCCCCCTATATAACCCCCCAGGCGTACACACTCCCTCACTGCCACGGCCCTCGCTGCTCACACGCACATGCCTCCCCTCCCCAGGCCGAGGCCCAGCTGACCCCCAGGGCTCCCCCCCCCAGCAGCGGACAGGGAAGGGTTAAAGGCCCCCAGCTCCCTGCCCCCTGCCCTGGGGAACCCCTGCCCTGTGGGGACATGAACAGTAAGTTGGTTCAAGTTCATGGGGTGGGGGGGACAGGAAGGGAGGAGGGAGGGCCCGTGGCGAGGAGGGTGGGGAGCAGACAGGCTCAGCGGAATGGGACAGAAAGAGACAGAGGAGAGTGAGGGAGCCATGGGGAGGCAGAGACGGAGAGGAAAGGAGATTCCGAGAAAGCAGGAGGCCCGGAGAAGAGACGGGCAGAGAGAGACGGGAGGACGAAGCTGAGACGCGGAGAGACGCACAGGGCAGCGCGAGAGAGATGGAGACCCCCAGACAGACGGAGAGAGAGACAGATGCCGGGAGGTGACCCCCAACGGCCGGGGACCCTCAGGGAGTCAGCGGGGACCGAGGGACGCAGACGCCCAGGCATCCTGACAGAGAGGTTCCGGGAGGGAAACTGAGGCAGAGAGTCCCCCCCCCCGCCCCAGGAGGTGAGCGCAAGTCCAGAACACCGACCCCAGCCAGGGGGAAGAGAGAAAGAGAGACAGTGGTGCAGACAGGAACGGGAGAACCAGACAGATGCGGACCGACGGACAGACAGCGGCCGGGGAGGGCCGGGGGGCGGGCTGGGGGTGTGATGCGGGAGCGGGGCGGCCAGGGGGGCGCTGATTGGCTGGCGGGAGCGGGGGTGGGCGGGGCAGCTGGGGGATGGGCTGCCGGGGAGCCAGCGGGCCGGAGCCCCCGAGCCGTGCGCCGCCGCCGGGTCTCCCTCCGCCTCCCGCGGCCCGGCTGCGCCCGCGCCTCTGCCTCTCTCCGCCCAGGTGTGCTCCGCGGGCATCCCCGGCACCACGGCCGGCCTTCCGCGGTCCACGAGGGAGAGGGGATGTCCCCCTGGGGAGGGGTCTGGGCCTCCGGGTTTCTGTCTCGGTCTCCTTCCTCTGATCTCAGTCCGGCTCGGGCTCCCGAGGCCCGGGGAGGGGGCAGGTTCTGGCCTGTGCCTCCCCCCTCATGCCCCGCCCCGGGGCCCAGATTCCGGCGTCCGGGGGCGGACGGGAGACGCCCGGCCCGTCTACCCGCCCCGGGCCGCGTCTGCTCCGACGGGCGGGGCAGCCAGAGCCGGAGAGGGAGAGGGAAGCCCGCCCCGGCCCTGCGACCTGCCCCGGGCGCTCCACCCTGGGACTCGAGACCCCCCAGTCCCTCCTCCCGCAGAGCCACCAGTCCGGTCTGAGCTCTCTGCTTCCTCCCGCCCCCAGGTGTTTGCTGCCTGGTCCTGGTCGCCCTGAGCCTGTGGCCGGATAGAGCTGCTGCCCCGGGGCCACCTCCTGGCCCCCCGCGGGCCTCCCCAGACCCTCGGGCTGAGCTGGACAGCGCCGTCCTCCTGACCCGCTCCCTCCTGGCGGACACTCGGCAGCTTGCGGCGCAGCTGGTAGGAGAGCCTGGAGGGGATGGGCTGGGACCAGGACCAGGAGTGGGGAGGGCTTCTGGGCTACCACGGTGGCAGAAACGGGGGGGAGGGAGGAGTCTGGGGCCTGTCTGGAGGATGGAGGGACCCTTGGAGCTGGGCAGGGTTCCCCTCAAGGCTTCTTTGCCCCCGCAGAGAGACAAATTTCCAGCCGACGGAGACCACAACCTGGACTCTCTTCCCACCCTGGCCATGAGTGCAGGGGCGCTGGGAGCCCTACAAGTAAGGGAAGGGGAAAGGGACCGGGGCAAAGATGAGATCTGGGCATGGAGAGGGTGCGGGGGATTGGGGGCCAGAGCAGGCAGGTGGCAGGTGTTCCCTGATGCCCCCACGCCCTGTGTCCTAGCTCCCAGGTGTGCTGACACGGCTGCGAGCGGACCTGTTATCCTACCTGCGCCATGTGCAGTGGCTGCGCCGGGCGGGGGGCCCTTCCCTGCGGACCCTGGAGCCGGAGCTGGGTGCCCTGCAGGCCCGGCTGGACCGCCTGCTTCGCCGGCTGCAGCTCCTGGTAGGACACGCCAGCCCCCAGACCTGACACCTAGACTTGAAGCCCGAGACCCCAGGACCCTCTGAGACCCTCCTCTGTGTCCCAAACCCTGTGGCCCCGAGACCCCCCCAGACCCTGCCATCTCCAGACCTCAGAACCTAGACCTTGAGGTCTCAGACCTTGAGCTCTGAGTCCCTAAGACCTCAGATGCTGGTCGTGAGCCCTTACGACCCCCAAACCCTGACTGCTAAAATCCTAGACCCAGCACCCTGAGATCAGACAACTTCAGATACCACTTCCTGGGCCTGACCGCAAAGACCCTGGACCTCAAATTCCAGCTCCCCATTCTGAGAGCCCAGCCCTCACCCATGAGTCCCTGAGCTTGGATCGGAGAGACCCCACATCTAAGACCCCAGCCCCGACATCTTGGACCCGACCCCAGACTTGAGCCCACAGCCCCCAGCCCTCACCTAGCACCAGGATCCCAGTCCTGATTCTATAGACCTCGCCCCCAATCCCCTGGACTGGGCCCTGGAATTCCAGCTCTGACACCCCCACCTTTTGGTCCCAGTCTTCATTTTCTGAACGCAACATGCTGAGAACTGCCCACCCAGAAACCCTACCCCACAGGCCACAGACACTCCGGAAGCATGCAGCCTGGACTCCCCAACCTCCCATTCAGACCCCTTCCTGGGACCCCCACTGCACCCCTGACCTATTGCTAACCCTCTGTCCTCTCCCAACAGATGTCCCGCCTGGCCTTACCCCAAGCACCCCCAGACCCACCAGCTCCCCCGCTGGCCCCCCCGGCCTCTGCCTGGGGAGGCATCAGGGCAGCCCATGCCATTCTTGGGGGGCTGCACCTGACCCTTGACTGGGCCGTGCGGGGCTTGCTGCTGCTGAAGACTCGGCTGTGACCCGACACCCGGAACCACCAACGTCCTTCGATGCCACATCTTATTTATTTATTTATTTTGGGACTGGGGGCACAGCAGCAGGAAAACACCCCCTCCTTCTCTCCCCCTAATTCGAGACGGTCCCTCCAGGAGAGCTGGGTGGAGTGGGGGGGTATCTGTGCCTTATTTATACTTATTTATTTAAGGGGGCGGGTGGGAGGCAGGTGGACTTGGGGACCAAAGGGGCAGGGAACTGGAGTCCTAGATTCTTGAATCACTTAAGAAGTCTGGCCACAGGCTTTCCCTGTCCCCTAGCCCTCTGGGCCTGGGCAGGAGCATATATTATTTATTAAACAATTACTTTTTGGGTTGAGGTGGGGAGGGAAAGGAGGCCTGGGTTTTTGTACAAAAATGTGAGAAACCTTTGTAAGATGGAGAAAGGGGAATTAAATTTGTCATACACATCCACTTAGAGGTGATTTCTCTGAGTGCTGAGGGTTGGGGGCTGGTCGCCGGGGTCCCTGGAGCAGAGAGAGGCAGGGACCCTTAGTGGGCAGGACAGCAGAGAGGAGATTGTTGGTCCCCCAGGGACCCTGAGTGCTGAGGGCCAGGGTCTGAGCCTGCACTTTGTAGGCACTCAATAAATTAAAGGAAGGTTCCAGAAGGCCATCCTATGTGCTACAATACTTGCATGTGACAAAGCTACAAGTTTGATGTTCGTTATGGTGATGTTCACAACAACAGATCAGAAACCACCTAGATGTCCAACAGTGAGGGATGGTTTAATAAATTACACCCATCCATGTGATGGAATACCATCAGCCATGCCGAGGGGATGAGACGGAGGCTGCTTTAAGACATAGAGAAAGCAGGCTACTGACCACTGCATGATTCCCATTTTGTGTTTGGATGGATGGATGGACAGATGTTTTTAAAAGTCCTAGAACATGGGGCATCTGGCTGGCTCAGTCAGTAAAGCATGTGACTCTTGATATCGGGGTCATGAGTTCCAGCCATACATTGGGCATAGAGCTTACTTTAAAAATAATAATAGGGACGCCTGGGTGGCTCAGCCTTTGGCTCAGGTCACGATCCCGAAGTCCCAGGATCGAGCCCCGCATCGGGCCCCCAGCTCAGCAAGGAGTCTGCTTCTCCCTCTGCTCTTCACCCAGTTCATGCTCTCTCTCTCTAATAAATAAAATCTTTAATAATAATAATAAGTCATAGAAAAAAATGCACCAAAATGTTGACAATGGTCCCCTCAGGGTGGAAGGTGGGGTAGAGTTATGAGTGACTTTTTAAAAAAATCTGTGCTTGTCTGTATTATCCAGAATTTCTACAATGACCATGTATTTTGCATGACACATTTAAAAAAATAATAAACACTTTTTAGAATGGAAGAATACCAGTCAACACCTTCTCCCCCAATAAACCCTCAGAAGGAGTCAAGAATCACGGCTCACTGAGTCCCTGCTCTGGACCGTGCCTTAAGTGTGGGGTTTTACTTACACGATCCCCTGAATGCGCCATTATGCCCCACTTTACAGGCGAGGGGAGGTGAGGTGGAGGGGGTGTGGTTGTTGTTCAGGGTCACATGGCTAGGGAGAGACAACTGTGATTCTGCCAGAGGTCTGGCTCATTCCAAAGCGCACGTCCTTTTCTTTAGAACCCATGTTCAGCAGTTGCCACAGACACAAATAGGTTACATATGGGGAAACTGAGGCCCAGTGGGGGTATGAGTCTTACTCAAGGTCCAGAGGAAGGTCAGTGGTGAGCTGGGGCTGTACTCAGGTCTCCCTTCTTAAGAGTCAGAAACTCCTGGTTAATTATCCTTTTACAATATCCAAGACAGCACCACCCCCCGCCACCTGCCCCCCACAAGGGTCCAGTTTTTTCACTAGTTTGGGTCTGGATTGGGGGCTTCTGATTCACAGACTTCAGCCCTCAAGACTCTAGGCCACATCTTGGGGAAGGGAGCCCATCCGTGCCCCCCAGAGAGTTCCCAGAAAGAGTCCTACACATGTCTGATGAGGTCACAAAGCCCCTCCACCGGAAGGCTCCTCCCCCAGGCCAGGGCTGACCACCCCCCCCTCCTTCAGGGCCATGGCCAAGCCCTGGGGAAGCTCCACCCTCTGGAACCGCTGAGCTCCCGCACCTGTGAAGCCCAAAGGGCCAGTACGGGTGGGCTGGGGGACACTGGGCAGGCCATGTGCCCAGGTGCCCGGCTCCCTGACTGTGTCAGTGGTGACTCACCTTTTCTCCAGCCACCATGAACCGGTTTCGGAATATCAGGCGCATGGAGCCACTCCAGGGACCCTCAAAATGGGTCCCCACTCTGGGCGAGCTGCAGAAGACCCTCCAGAAGGGCGAGTACCTGCCCCTCCGCCCGCTGCCCATGTTCGAGAGTAACTTTGTCCAGGTCCCCAGCTTCCTGTACCCTGGGGGCGGAGAGGGGCAGGAGGGGATTGGAACTCCCTGGGCTGGGGGACTTGAACCCAGGCAGGTATGAGGCAGTGGGGGGGGGGGGGGCTCCGGTGGCAGGGGGCTTGGGCTGGGGGTGCCAGAGGAGCACTGGAGAAGGAGTGGTTCCAGCCCCTCTCCCTGGCCCCCCAGGTGACCAATCGAGGGGCCCCCGTGTACACGCACCACAGAACCAACCGTCTGACCATGGGTGTGGCTGCCTCCCTGCCAGGCCTGGTACTCCCAGACATCCTGCTGATCGCTCAGCCCGGAGAGGGCAAGGAGTGCTCCAACCTCGTCCTCACCAGGTGCCTCCATCCCCCCATCTGCCCCAGGAACCTCGTCCTCACCAGTTGCCTCCACCCCCCCATCTGCCCCAGGGAGTGCCCAACCTCATCCTCACCAGGTGCCTCCATCCCCCCCCATCTGCCCCAGGGAGTGCCCAACCTCATCCTCACCAGGTGCCTCCACCCCCCCATCTGCCCCAGGAACCTCATCCTCACCAGTTGCCTCGACCCCCCCATCTGCCCCAGGGAGTGCCCAACCTCATCCTCACCAGGTGCCTCCATCCCCCCATCTGCCCCAGGAACCTCATCCTCACCAGGTGCCTCCCTCCCCCCCATCTGCCCCAGGGAGTGCCCAACCTCATCCTCACCAGGTGCCTCCACCCCCCCATCTGCCCCAGGAACCTCATCCTCACCAGTTGCCTCTACCCCCCCATCTGCCCCAGGGAGTGCCTAACCTCATCCTCACCAGGTGCCTCCATTCTCCCCCCATCTGCCCCAGGGAGTGCCCAACCTCATCCTCACCAGGTGCCTCCCTCCCCCCCATCTGCCCCAGGGAGTGCCCAACCTCATCCTCACCAGGTGCCTCCACCCCCCCATCTGCCCCAGGAACCTCATCCTCACCAGGTGCCTCCACCCCCCCATCTGCCCCAGGAACCTCATCCTCACCAGGTGCCTCCAACCCCCCATCTGCCCCAGGGAGTGCCCAACCTCATCCTCACCAGGTTCCTCCATCCGCCCCATCTGCCCCCGCCCTGTCCCATCTCCTGCTCTACCATCTCCATCTCCTTCCTGCCCCCACCCCCCAGGATGCTCCCGCTGGACCTGGCCCACCTCTACGTGCATGACGTGTCTGCCTGGCGCCTTAAGCTGCGCCTGGTCACAGGCCGTTACTACTACCTGGAGCTGGACGCCCCTGATAACGAGGCTGGCTTCCTGTTTGACCGCTGGATCCGTCTCATCAACCTGCTCCATGAGCCTGCCACAACCTGGGCCCCCAGGACTCTGAATACACCCACCATGGACCTGGCACATATGGTACCTCCGGCCTCCACCTGGCGCCTCCAGGTGGGCACTGCCCCCACAGCCCCCAGGGGCAACTATGGTTTTAGATTTCAGAGCCAAGACAAACAGCCTGAAATCCAGAATCCCAAGAAATGAGGCTGGGGGCCTGGATGACAGAGGAGGGGCTGGGGGTTAGACTCCTGGGTCTGAGGGGGGAGGGGCTGGGGGCCTGGACTCCTGGGTCTGAGGGAGGAGGAGGGGCTGGGGGCCTGGGCTCCCAGGTCTGAGGAAGGGCTGGGGGTCTGGACTCCTGGGTCTGAGGGAGGAGGGGCTGTGGGGCTGGACTCCTGGGTCTGAGGGAGGAGGGGCTGTGGGGCTGGACTCCTGGGTCTGAGGGAGGAGGGGCTGGGGGCCTGGACTCCTGGGTCTGAGGGAGGAGGGACTGGGGGCTGGACTCCTGGGTCTGAGGGAGGAGGGGCTGGGAGTCTGGACTCCTGGGTCTGAGGGAGGAGGGGCTGGGAGTCTGGACTCCTGGGTCTGAGGGAGGAGGGGCTGGGGGCTGGACTCCTGGGTCTGAGGGAGGTGGGGCTGGGGGCCTGGACTCCTGGGACTGAGGGAGGAGGGGCTGGGGGCCTGGACTCCTGGGTCTGAGGGAGGAGGGGTTGGGGGGCTTGGACTCCTGGGTCTGAGGGAGGAGGGGCTGGGGGTCTGGACCCTTGGGTCTGAGGGAGGAGGGGCTGGAGCCCTAGATTCCAGGATTTGCAGGGGCAGAGGACAGGACTCCTGGTCCTGGCAGGGGGATGGGTTGGGGTCTTGGAGTCCTGGGCTGGGTAGGTAACGGAGATGTGGATACCAGGAGGAGGCCACCCCTCCTGACTGGCCCCCTCTTTGTCCACAGGCCCAGCCCCAGTCCAAAGGTTCAGGTGAGTAGGCTCAGTGTCCATCAGGCTCTCCCCTGCTTCTCAGCATCCGCTGCAGTAGGCGTGGTCAGACCTTCCCCTTCTCCCCTGGCCAAGCCCCCTGCGGGTCTCCCTGTGTCCTCCCTGTCAGAGACCCTGACTCAAAGCCTCCCCTCTTCTGCAGTCATGATTGTCGAGCCCACCTTTCCTTACAAGTTAATGGCATCTCAGAGACAGAAGACCAAGGTGAGCAGGCCGGGCGGGACCGGCTGCTGATGGGTGGGGCTGGGGGTGCTGTTCCTCCTCACTGCGCTCCGTCCCTCCTCCCACTGTCAGACCCTCAAGCGCAGGTTCAAGTCTCAGGCCGTGGGCGACTCTGTGCCTCTCATCTGGTCGCGTCTGGAGCATGCTGAAGCTAGAAAGAAATCTGCGGAAAAGTAGGCTTAGGGTTTTGCTCCTGGTGGGAGGCAGAAGGCTGAGGACCCTGGTGCAGATGACATCTAGTCACACCACTTCGCGTCCACAGGTCCCAACCAAAACTCTATGCTGACACGTCTCGGACGAAAATCCAGGTTTCTGGTGAGCACACCTCCCCCTCTGTGTACGGATCCCCGAAGTTCTCACCCTTCCCCTGAGAGCTCAGACCACTTTCTTCCCACCCAGAGAAGCCCAGCATCACCATCCGTACCATCTTCAGCATCATTACCAACACCATCAACAACTCACACTCCTCTTCCAAGGCACCTATTTACTGGGGGCCCAACTCTTGGTCTGAGGGAGGAGGACCTGGGGGCCTGGACTCCTAGGTCTGAGGGAAGAGGGGGCTGGGGGCTGGACTCCTGGGTCTGAGGGAGGAGGGGCTGGGGGCCTGGACTCCCGGGTCTGGGGGAGGAGGGGGCTGGGGGCCTGGACTCCTGGGTCTGAGGGAGGAGGGCCTGGGGGCTGGACTCCTGGGTCTGAGGGAGGAGGGCCCGGGGGCTGGACTCCTGGGTCTGAGGGAGGAGGGCCCGGGGGCTGGACTCCTGGTTCTGAGGGAGGAGGGGCTGGGAGGCTGAACCCCTGGGTCTGAGGGAGGAGGGGCTGGGGGCCTGGACTCCTGGGTCTGAGGGAGGAGGGGCTGGGGGCTGGACTCCTGGGTCTGAGGGAGAAGGGACTGGGAGGCTGAACCCCTGGCTCTGAGGGAGGAGGGGCTGGGGGTCTGGACTCTTGGGTCTGAGGGAGGAGGGCTGGGGGCCTGGACTCCTGGGTCCAAGGGGGGAGAGGGCTGGGGGCCTGGACTCCTGGGTCCAAGGGGGGAGAGGGCTGGGGGCCTGGACTCCTGGGTCTGAGGGAGGAGGGGCTGGGGGCCTGGACTCCTGGGTCTGAGGGAGGAGGGCCCGGGGGCTGGACTCCTGGTTCTGAGGGAGGAGGGGCTGGGAGGCTGAACCCCTGGGTCTGAGGGAGGAGGGGCTGGGGGCCTGGACTCCTGGGTCTGAGGGAGGAGGGGCTGGGGGCTGGACTCCTGGGTCTGAGGGAGAAGGGACTGGGAGGCTGAACCCCTGGCTCTGAGGGAGGAGGGGCTGGGGGTCTGGACTCTTGGGTCTGAGGGAGGAGGGCTGGGGGCCTGGACTCCTGGGTCCAAGGGGGGAGAGGGCTGGGGGCCTGGACTCCTGGGTCCAAGGGGGGAGAGGGCTGGGGGCCTGGACTCCTGGGTCTGAGGGAGGAGGGGCTGGGGGCCTGGACTCCTGGGTCTGAGGGAGGAGGGGCCTGGGGGCCTGGACTCCTGGGTCCAAGGGGGGAGAGGGCTGGGGGCCTGGACTCCTGGGTCCAAGGGGGGAGAGGGCTGGGGGCCTGGACTCCTGGGTCTGAAGGAGGAGGGGCTGGGGGCCTGGACTCCTGGGTCTGAGGGAGGAGGGGCCTGGGGGCCTGGACTCCTGGGTCCAAGGGGGGAGAGGGCTGGGGGCCTGGACTCCTGGGTCTGAGGGAGGAGGGGCTGGGGGCTAGGACTCCTGGGTCCTGGGTCTGGGAGGCGCCCCTGGTCCTGATCATCCTTCCCCTTTCTTCGGCCCATGTGCAGGGTTCCTTATCTGACTCTGAGGTGGGCATGGTCCTGGGAGGTTTAGTGGAGACCCCTGCACGCTGTGTCTCAGAGGGCAGCCGTGAGCCTTCCTTGCTGGGCTCCTACGATCGCTTGGACACATACCTGTGGCGGCAGAACGTTGAAGGCCTGATGGACCCTGATTCCAGCACCTTGTCCTCTTCCTCCTTCTGCCCAGCGCCCGGCCCTCCGGCCTTCAATCTCCGTGCTATGTTCTCCTTCCATAAGCACCAAGGAAAGGCTGGGCAGAGGCAGCGGCCGCCATACTCCCAGAAGACGCCATCTACCCATGCTGCCTCTTCGAAGGTTCCATTCATCCTCGACCAGTCCAAGAAGGTCTCAGCAGTGCCTGCTCCATCCCAGAAGACCTCGACTGCCCCTGGCCCATCCCGGAAGGCCCCACCTGCTTCGGCTACTTTCCCGAAGGCCCCAGTAGCACGTGGCCCATCCCGGAAGGCCCCACCTGCTTCGGCTACTTTCCCGAAGGCCCCAGTAGCACGTGGCCCATCCCGGAAGGCCCCACCTGCTTCGGCTACTTTCCCGAAGGCCCCAGTAGCACGTGGCCCATCCCGGAAGGCCCCACCTGCTTCGGCTAGTTCCCCAAAGGCCCGAGCCATACCTGTCCCATCTCAGAAGGCCCCACCTGTGTTGGCTAGTCCTCAGAAGCCTCCAGCCGTACCTTACCCATCTCCAAAGTCCCCACCTATCCAGGCTCTTCCCCCAAAGGCTGCGTCCCCCACTCTCCAAAGGAGGAAATCTTTCTTCATCCCTACCCCATCCCAGAAGGCTGTGACCTCACCTAGTCAATACAAGATGACACTGGACAGGGCTGATTTTGGCATGGTGCCTGAATTAAGTCCTAAAAGGGATGGGCTTGAGAGAAGGAAGCATGAAGGGACGCCACAGCCCATGTTGTTCGTGGGCACCCAGGAGATGGACGTGCTAGAGATGAGGACCCAGAGAACAGCCATGGAGCTGCCTTTCACCACCACGAAGAAGCAGTCAGAGGAAGTCGTGATCAGCAAAGCCCGGGAGATCACCCTGGATGGCCTGAAGGGCAGGAGCACGTTGGAGGACAAGGTCCACAAAAAGAAGGAGAAGATATCCCTGGACATGCCTGGCTTTAAATCCAAGGAGAGAGGAGAGCAGCAGAGGTGGCTCAAAACCCAGGAACTGGCCATTGAGGGAGGCCCAGAGGAACAGAGCAGGCCCTTCTCGGTGGAGGGGCTCACCCTTGCCAAGATGATGATCATGGCCAACTGCAAGGAGCCACCCCAGAGACCAGCTGCAGTCGGTCTGCCCTCCTGGCTCTCAGCTCCCCAGGCGTCTGCTAGGTCAACAGAGGGCACAGTGCCCTTCGGCCCCCATCATGTGTCCTCCCCAGAGGGGAAACCAGGGGCAGTTAGGGAACAGTCCCCAGTGGGCTTCTGGGTGCCCTCGACAGAGGGGACACCGGTGGGGGTTAGGGACCAGTCCCCAGTGGGCACCTGGGTAAAGGGGAGAATGCATCAGTGGGCAGAGAGGAGCAAGCATCACTGGGTGAAGGAGCTTTCCCAGGACACAACAGGGCCTTCCGAAGTGCCCTATCTCATGGAGCAGGAGATGGACAGTGTCTTCAGCAGCCGGAATATGGATGTCTCCCAGTCTCCCATCCCTCTGCCCGCATCGGAGTGGGAAGATGTACCCCAGTTGCCCATCTCTCTGACCCCCATCTCCAAGATGGAGGCTGGGGTGTCCCCTCAGCTCAGCAGTGTATCTCAAAAGCCTCAAGAGCCCAAGGAGATGTCAGATCTGAGCCCTCTGACCACGACCGGGTTGTCCTCAGAGGCTCTCTCACCCTCGCCCTTGGAAGTGGAGAGTGTGATGCACATGGCTACCAACGGGGAGAAGACAGAGGAACAGGATGTCTTCAGTGCTTCAGCCAGGTACTTGGGGTGACAGCTAACATGTTCTGTCAACTCCATTCTCTGCAAGGTAGAGAGGATCATTCCCTCTTTTTTCACTTTTATTCATGGACTCAATATATATTGGGTCTAAGTTCTAAGCACTGGGGACACAACACTGAGCAATTGGGGGAGTATGTATGCTCCTGCCACCCGGTATGTAGAGCCCAGAGATGCTGTTTAACATCCTACAATACACGGGATGGTCCCCCACCCCCACCCCCAACAACGAGTGATCCACACAAACTATCAGTAGTGCTGAAGTTAGGAATCCTGACAGTAAAAACTGAATCAATTATAGTGTATGATATAATGTGAGAGCTCCATGGGAAGACAGCAGGGGAGGGGGGACTAGGCGTGAAGGTAGGCAGCCTCCAGGATGGGACTGGTTGGTCCAGGAGGGCCTCAGTGAGCTGATGTCACTTCTGTAAAAGACCTGGAGGAGGAGAGGGGGGACTCCATGCACACATCTGGGGAAGATAGGTGTGTGCAATATTATAATATGTGCACTCACCAAGAGTGAGTTCCAGGGGGCCCCAGAGTAGAGAATGCCATCGGAAGAGTCAGGGAAGTGGTGGCGATCATGGGGGACCTTGCCGGCTTTGATGCTGATGAGTGAGCTGGGGATTGTTGAGCAGAATGGCTGGAAGTGATGTATGTTAGAAAGGGCTCTCTCTGGCCCAAGCATCGGGAAGGTAAGGGGGCAAGGATGGAAGCCAGGAGAGTAGGTGGGAGGCGGGTGCTGTGATCCAGGCACGAGATGATGTTGGTTTGGACAACAGGGGAGGTGTCGGAAGTGTTGAGAAGAGGCAGGACTCTAGAGATGCTCCGATGGCTGGGCCAATGGATTGGCTCATGGGCTGGTCCTGTCCATATGGCAACAAGGGCAACTGTAGGGTTTGGGGTCTGGGACACTGGGGAGATGTTGTGGCCATCGGCAGCATTCGGAGAAGCTGTAAATGCAGTAGGTGGCAGGTAGAGCTCAGGAATTCCATTTTGGACATCTGAATTCCAAGATGTCAGGTGAAGATGTGCAGTAGGGAGCCAGATATGTGAGTCAGGAGTGACTTGGGAAATCATCAGCACGTGGAGAGTTACTGCAAGCTATGGGGACTGGAGGAGGTCTCCAGCCAGCGAGTGTAGACAATGAGAGTGTTTGGAAAAGGGGATACCATAGTCGTGGTGTGCAGAATGGTGAGAGACGGGCATGCTGACCGCCACGGGAAGGGAGCAGCTGTGTCTAAGGCCGCAGCGAGGTGCAGGAAGATGGGACTGAGACAGGGCCTCCGGATTCATCGGCAAGGATTTGATTATTTGTTACATGGTGGTAACAAAGACCTGAATGGGGCAGGCCTAAGGAAGCACAGAAAGCAGGGAGTCACCCGCTGTGACGCTTGAAAACAAGATGCTGGGGGAAAGGAGCCAGAAGCAAAAGGCCTCCTCGTGGGTGATGCCCTTTGTATGAAGCTTGCGGGGCAGGCAAATCCAAGCAGAATGGTGGTTGCCAGGAGCTGGGAGTGATGGGAGGAATGGGGAGGGATCGCATACTGGGAACAGGGTCTCTTTGTGGGGTGATGAAATGTTCTGGAACTAAGAGGTTGTGGTCCCACAATGTTGTGAATGTAATTAATGGCATGGAAGTGGACGGTTTAAAATGGTTGTGATGGTAAATTTTACATGATGTGTATTTTCCCACTATATACCTACTTACCTACCTCCGTACATTCGCAAAGAGGGGCTTCGGAGATGAGGAGCAGACCAGCTTTTTGCAAGTAGCTTGCTGGAAGGGGAGGAGGGACCTGGAGAGGTAGCTGGTGTAGGAAGTGGGCACAGAGCGATTCTTGAGAGGAGAGCAACGTTGGTGCACTTGGATGTGGTGTGAAGGATGCACAGCTGGGCTCGAGAGCAACTAGGCAGGAGGGAGAGGAACTGGGAGGTACACCGGGGACAGGAAGACGCGGGGGTCGGGGGGAACCCTGTTCCAGCTCACACTTCATTTAGCACGAGTTTACTGAGCACTCAGGGTGCTCTCCCTGTGGCCCCCAAAGCCCCCTTTGGCTTTTTCTCTCTCTCCAGCATGCTCAGTTCCGAGAGCCCTCAATAGCGGGATTCGGGGGACTCAATCTCAGTTGCCAAAGTGTCCAAAGGAGCCCAGCCTGGCCAGGTAGCCCGAGACCCCACAGACCCGCCTCAGTCCTGGCACCGGAGTCCAGGAGCTCAGACCCCACCCTGGCTCTTTCCTCTTCCCCACGGACCCCCATGGTCCTGTGCACCTCTACCGTAAGAAGCAGGGTGCTGAAAAGGCCGGGCGGGGGGATGCTCCCTCTCCGGTAGAGACCAGAGCTATCTCTACGTTTATATATTGGGGGGCGGGGAGCGGGACAGGGGAGAGCCCGCGGGGTGGCCCAGCTTCGCAGAGATTAAAAGCCTGAGTCTGAGACTCGGCAAAAGTCGTGCCTGGGTGCCTGTGTGTGCGCGGGGGACCCCCAAGAGCTTCGTGGGGCTGGGGGCAGGAGGCGGCGGGGGTGGGGTCCACGCAGACCCCGCCCGGCGTCTTGGAACATCCCTTGCAGCGCCGCTGCTCCCATTGGCTGGGGCCCAGGGGTCCCAGCCAATCCTGCCAGGGGTCGTGTTTCTCCTGGGCTGGACCCCCGAGACTCAGAAGCGAGGGGCGCCCCTGGACGGAGCCACAGGACAGCTGACCCAGTGACACGTTGACATCACTCTGGTGAGGGCAGGGCGGGTGGGATCAGGGGCTGGGCTTCGGGTGGGGGCCAGCCGCTGGGTGCGGGTCGGAACGAGGGGCGCCCCCAAGCCCCACGGAGCCCCCCTTCCCCCGCAGGAGCTGCCGCCTCCGTGGATGTTGGATGTTGATTCCCAGAAGCCCCCCAAGGGGAAATGGTCAACACCGCCCTTCGACCCGCGCTTCCCCAACCAGAACCAGACCCAAAACTGCTACCAGAACTTCCTGGGTGAGACCTTGCGGGCCAGTTTAGGGGCAGGGGGTGAGACAGGGGAGGCAGGAAGGGGAGCACCCCACCTGAAAATGGGAAGGTCTGGGACCCGCCTTGGCGGCGGAGACCGTTGGGGTGGAAAGGGGTGGGGGGAGAACCACGGTCCGCAGGGGCGGGGCCTACCCGGCAGGGGCGGGGCCTAGTGTGGAGGGGGCGGGACCGAGTCCTGGAGGGAGGGAGAGGCGGGGCCTGGCCTGGAGGGCCGTGACCCAGTCCTGGAGGGGCGGGGCCTGGCCTGGAGTGGGTGAGCCGACCATGGTGGGGTGGGGCCTGCCGGGAGTGGGCGGGGCCTGGTCTGGGGGCGGGGACCTAGTTCTGGAGGGGCGGGGCGAGGGAGGGAGAGGCAGGGCCTGGCCGGGGGTGGGCGGGGCCTGGTCTGGAGGGCCCGGACCGAGTTCTGGAGGGGCGGGGCGAGGGAGGGAGAGGCAGGGCCTGGCCGGGAGTGGGCGGGGCCTGGTCTGGAGGGCCCGGACCGAGTTCTGGAGGGGCGGGGCGAGGGAGGGAGAGGCAGGGCCTGGCCGGGGGTGGGCGGGGCTTGGTCTGGAGCGCGTGAGCCGACCACGGTAGACCGGGGTCTGGCCGTGGAGGGACGGGGCCTGGAGGGGAGGGGCGGGATTGAGTCGTGGAGGGCGAGGGGACGGAGGGCGTGGGACCATCACTGGGGGCGGGAGCAAGGGGCGGTGCTAGGCCGGGAGGGGCGGGGCGGGGCCGCAGAGCCACCCCGCCGGCCCTCCCGGCCCCACCCTGCAGACTACCACCGCTGCGTCAAGAGAATGAACCGCCGCGGGAAGAGCGCGCAGCCCTGCCAGTATTACTTCCGCGTGTTCCACTCGCTGTGCCCCATGAGCTGGGTGAGCAGGCTTGGGGGCGCCGGCGGCCGGCCGGCCGGGGCGAGGGTGGAGGGTCCCGTGTAGCTGAATCGGCGCCCTCTGCCTCCCCTCCCGCCACTCCCCCGCCACCAGGTGCAGCGCTGGACCCAACAGATCCAGGACGGGACCTTCGCGGGCAAAATCTGACGGCCTGAGTGCCGCTCCTCCGAAGGATCAGCGCTCTGACCGCACATCCTGGCGTGTCGCGGAGACCCGGCCCCGGCTATCCACTCCCCAGTCTGTGAGCCACCAATAAATCTCTGTTGCTGCTATTTCTGCCTCATATCTGGCGTGGGGGCTGGAGAAGTCCTTCCTGTGTCAGTGCCCTGCAGCTAACACTACTGGTTCTGATGAGGAGGGGGCAGGGATGGAGGGAGGATCGTCAGTCTCTGGGCAGGATCGAGCCCAGCCCCTCCTGCCCCCGTTCCAGTGCCTCCAGCGGGCAGCGGCCGCCCGCCCAGGCTCCGTGGAGGACAGCACTTGCCCACGAGGGTGCTCCTGACTGTCCATCCCCACGCCTGGTGCGCCCTTCATCTCCTCCCTCAGGATCTTCGCCTCTTACCTCCGCAGACTCCTTTGGGACTTGCATTCCCAAGTTCTGGGGGGTTGTTTGGTTGTGTACCCCCCAGCGCTGACCCCAACCCTCCCTCCCCAGCTCCGGACCCGTCCCCAGCTCTTCACCACTCTCCATCACTCCCCTGCCCCTGTCTGACTCCATTTCCCTCCAAGTACACCCCGGTCTCACCCCGCGCGCCCCTCCCAACAGTCTTCTGCACGCCTGGCCTCGGCCTTCCAGCACCGTCCCCAGCCCGAGCAGTCTCCTCCGTGGGTCTCCATAGATACCTGTCACGTCAGTTTCTCCAGGATGCTCCTCCAGGACATCTGAGCTCCTGTCTGGATAATTCTTTGCTCCTGCCCCATCCAGGCGCTAGGCCTGCCTTCAGCCAGCCTCAGAGGTGGCAACACTGAGATTCATTCTGATTCCAAATGCCCCTTGAAATGTCACCTGTCTAACCCTCCCACCCGCACCCTGGCCAAGGCTGAGGAGTGACCTCTAACAAGCACAGAGCCCTGGGATTCTAGCCTGGCCTAAGTCCTGAGCAGGGGGAGGACTGGATCCCACTGTTTCTCCTGAAGCTGTATGTTTCCTGGGACAGGCTGGACCCACACTCTGCCTGAAGTAGTCTCAAGAGGCCTGTTCAATCCCGGGGTTCAAAGGTGGCTATTACTAATCATAACAACTGAACAAGCCTCTGGACCTGTGTGCACCTCAGTTTCCCCAGTTTTTAACCCAGATGGTGCAGAGTCCCATTACCAGGAGAGGTGTGATGATGGGAAGGGCTGAGCGGACTCAGGGGAGGACTGGCTCTATTCTGCTCCTCGCTCCTCCCGCCCTCCTTGATGACCATCCCCTCGCATACCCTCCACACTGCCCTCATCACCCCACCCAGGGCACACCCCAGACGTCCCATCTGCTGGGGTGGCTGCACCCAGATACCTTGCCCCAGGACTCCCTCTTTCCAACCACAGCCTGAGAGGCAGGAGGGCAAGTGAGGGTGCAGGGTGTGCTGAGAGCTGCAGGAAGGGCTGTCCTGCTCTGGTGGCGGTGCGGCTGGATCAAGGAAGGGACACAGGCAAGGCAGCTCTGAGTCACCGCGTGGGGCTGACGGGTGTCTGACAGTCGGGTCACCCAGGTAGCCTCTGCCAGCCTCTTGACCTCACTCAGGGTACCAGGGCCTGGAGTGCACTCTACCCCGTTGCCCAGGAGCCACTCCCAGCCGTCCTCCTTCTTTCCATCTTTGGCCCAGGATCCTCCCCACCATCATCCCTCTACCACTTCTGGAACTTTTTTTTTTTTTTTTTAAGATTTTATTTTGGGGAGAGAGTGTGTGCTTGTGCAAGCTGGGGGAGGGACCGAGGGAGAGGGAGCAGACTCCCCGCTGACCACGGAGCCCCACCCTGAGATCATGACCTGAGCCGAAATCAAGAGTTGGACGCTTAACTGACTGAGCCACCCAGGTGCCCCATTCTGGAACATTCTTTACACTCTGCCACCACAGTCCTACGGATGCCTGAGCCGGAGGCGGGGTCTGCGCCAGCATCACAGTAAACTCCCAGGCCCTGAACACCGGTTCCGCTGCTCCTCTACCAGCTCCTCGGAAGCAGCCTCCCAGGCCGCGCGCCTGGTTCCCCGCCCCTCCCCCCACTCTGCACCCCTGCTCGCCTCACCACCCCCTTCCCCACCTCCCCCTCTTCCTCCAGTGCCATCCCCTCGACCTCAGGCCCTCTCTCCTCCTCCCGTCTCTGCAGACCCTCAGCCAGCTCCTTCCCTCTCTGCAGAGGCTCAGTCAGGTGCTTCCCCCTCAGAATCAGCTGCCCTTCGAGGCACCTACTCTCCCTCTCCTCCCCTCCCCCCCCCCAGAAGCCCTGCGGCCCAGCTCCAGCCTCCTCTCTCTGGTGTCTGCCTTTGTCAGAGCCTGAAGAACTCTGAGAAACGGTTCAAGCCCCAGCTGCACAGCGTACCAGCCCTGTGGCCCCAGACAAATTCCCTAAGCCCCCTGCCCCATGGTCTTTTCATCCCAAATGCGGCGATGACAACACGTGGACTTCGTAGGGCTATTGGGGAGGATGATGCTGTGAGTTACGGGTTACAATCCTCTAGCCTGGTGTTCTCAGGGCGTGGGGGGGGGGAGGGCTCTGTGTCAGCAATTCGAGGGACTCAGAATCAGCGTGGCGGTTCGATGCTGGCGCCCCACGCCACGCTGGACGGTGGGAGTGACGGATCGATAGCCAGCTGCCCTCCTCCATCAGCAGCTCCAGGATGGCCAGCCCGTCAACAGGGACCTGGAGCTGCCGGAAGCATCTGGTCAACGCCATGTGCATGCAAAAGGGTCAGAGAGCGCCCCCAAGGAGACACATGGCCCAGGATTGGGGTGCCCGGCCTGGATGGCACTCTTGGCTCTGCTGCAGTCCCAGCCGCCAGAGGCAAGGAGAGAGCTGGGGAGGGGGGAGCAGAGCGCAGACCTCGCCCTGTGAGCTGCAATTATTCCGTTTCCTGCAGCTCCTTCTTTCCTTCACCACCCAGGTCTTCCCTGTGCCCTCGCTCAGGCTGCCTGCCGCGGGTCTGATGGGGCTCCAGCCCCTCCCCCGACCCTCACGCTCCCCTCCCCCGGGCCTGAGCCACCAGGGGGAGCTCCCGATGCCAAGCCCGGCTCCCGCCCCGCCCCCCCGGGTCCTGACACTTCACTGGCCACAGCTTGAGCTCCTTGCACTTCCCTGCCGTGGTGGGGGCCGTTTTCTCGGGGCTCAGGGCGGAAACTGGCAGCAAGGTGGGTGCCCGCAGGCCATTTGTAAAGGGGGGAACCCTGGGAGCACTGTCATGAAGGCTGGGCAGCGTCAGGGCCACGGTTCCTGCCCTGGAGGTCTTCCCTCCCCACCCCCTTGTCGTCCAGCCCAGTGACTCTCAGCAGGGGTGGCTTTGGCCCCAGGGGGACACTGGGCAGTGTGTGGAAACCCCTTTGTCACAACTGGTGCTCCTCATCCTACAACAGAATTAGCTGGCTCCAGGCAGCGGCCGTGCCAAGGGTGAGACCCTGACCATCGGTTTCTGATCTTTGTTTCTGGGGTTCGAGACACTCTTGAGAATCTGATGAAGGCTTCAAACCCTCTCCCCTGAGAAGAACACGCAGACGCACATTTAACATAGAATTTTCGGAGGTTCTCGTAACCCTCAGTGGCCGTCTGGGAGGAGAATCCTGCCTAGAAGCCACGGTGAAGGCGCCTGCACGCCCGTCCGTGTAGAGGCCCCCTTCTTTCTGGACGACGCCCTCCCTCTGCGTCCTCTTCTCCCTCGTCTTTAACAGGAGGGAGAAACCTAGCAGGGGAAGTAGGAGTTGCAGGGAAGAGACACACTCTCACTCTCTCCTTCTGAAAGGAAGTGGGCTCTCTGTAAATGAAAGGAATTTCAAGTAAAACGATTACAGCTCTGCATGGTCCCCCCTCAGGTGGTCCCCCCTCCCTGCCCCACCCCGTCCTCAGCTCCCCCAGCCCCACCTGACCCTCAGGCATGGGTGAGGCCTCAGGGCCAAGGAGGAAAACAGTGCCCCCAGGCCCCCCCCCCTCACTGGTCTTGTTAGCTGTCTGCATTTCTTGCATTTCTTCTGCACCACGGGGGCGGAGGTGACAATGAAGAGGGATGGCAGGGTCCCCACTGACCTGAATCCTGAGCAGCTTGAGAAGGTTCATCGCCCTGGTCCCATAGAGCTGGGCCGACCAACAGGACTCGGACGAGGGTGCGGGGCAGCTGACTTCGGAGGGGCAGCCGGCCCCGTGTGACCCTGGGCGAGTCCCTCTGCTTGCTGGACCTGTTACCTTGTCTGAACGACAGGGAGCGTCCCCTCCCACGTGAGTACAGCTCCGGAAGCACTCTTCAGAAGCCTGGTTCTCTGTCCTCCGCCATCCTCAGGGGCATCCTGCGGACCCTTCACCCTTCCAAAGCTCGTAGGCCCCCAAAGCCTGGGCCGCCTCCCCCGGCCTGGTCTCCCCAGCAGGGCTGAGAGTCTCACCCCGCTGACAAACATCCCCTCAAAACATCAATCAAAATGAAAAGCTACAAAGGGCACTGCTTATAACAAGGTTTTAATAAAATAAAAAGTTCAAGTGCTTCCAATCCCCCAACATACCCCATTCTGGTGTGGGGGAGGGGAGGGACCCCCCACACCCCAGTAGCACCAGGGATAGCACCATGAGAAAGATGAGGTCGCATCCGGCCTCCCTGAGACCCACGGGCTGGTGAGGACGTGTCCCAGACATCCCCCCCCAGCCTGCCCCCCACCTCGGACAGTCGCAGAGCTGAGAGCAAGCCCACTCGCCTCCGTAGCGCAGTCTCCAGGCAGTGCCACCCCCAGGTCAGTTCTGCCTCCTCCTGAGACCTGGGCTTCTGGGGAGACGCCATGGGGTGGCCCCCACCCCTTATGGCTTTGCTCCCTGGGCAGGAGGTGGGAAGGGAAGGGAACGGCTCCAGCAGTCCTGAGGCTGGAGTTGGGGTGGGAGGGCAGCAGCGGCCAGGGCACCCTGCTGGGGTGGGGGTGGCTCAGGGGTCAGCAGTCACAAAGGGTCAGGGGTCAGAGCCCTGGGTGTCTCCAAACCAACCCAGCCCCGGGCAGAACTGTGCTGGGGCCAAGGGCCAGCTCCCTCCCAGAGGCCCAGCGGCTCCTTCTAGAGGTCAGTGAGTCCCCGAGAACTTGGGGCTCGGGGGCAGGGGGGACGAGGAGGGACTCCTTCCTCTCTGGCCTGGGGCCTTCCCTGTCCAGCCCATCATGGCCCGTCACCGTTGACATCCAGGTCAATGGAGCCGTGGCTGACCACCAGCCTCAGGCGCTTGGGTGGGGAGAAGGGGGCGAAGGCAAGGGCCTGCTTGGGGATGGGGGCAGGGCCTGGGGTCCCGGCAGGCGCAGGGGCAGCGGGTGGGGCCGGGGCCACACGGCTCAGGTCCACACGCACCACGTAAGGCAGCCCATAGCGCCGGGCCCAGTGCCAGTCCTGCTGCGGGGCCCAGTGGGCGCGGGGGGCCGGGCCCAGGGCCACCAGGGCCTCTGCACGCAGGCAGCAGTGGGGACCACAGCCTCCCCACCGGTGCAAGGAGATGCGGGCGGTGCGGAGAACGGGGGCCGCTGGGGCCCGCCGGGGCTGGAGGCGCCGGCGCCTCCGGGGGCGCACCCGGAGCTGGGGCTGAGGCAGCCACTGGAGCCAGAGGGGCGAGGCGTCAAGGCGGGCACTGCAGGGCAGGGGGCGCCTGGGCTGGCAGGTGGCTACGGAGGCCGGGGGGAGCGGGGAGAAAGGAGTGTGAGCAGGGCCTCCGGCAGGGACCCGAGGGCGGGAGGCGGCGGGAACAGACAAGGGCTTGGGCCTGGGGCGGGGCTCACCACAGAATGGGTCCCGGCGCAGCGGGGAGAGGTGGGCACAGGCCCTCAGGCCCAGTGGACCCTGCCGGCCACCGCCATCCAGGCCCTGCTGCAGCCTCCGCTTGGTCTCCCGGAGCTCGTACTTGTCCAGGGGCCGAGGGGGCAGGGGTGCGCGGGGCCGGAGGCGGAAGGCTCCTTCACCTTTCCTGGTTGGGGGGGCCGGGAGGGAGAGAGAAGGGAGCGGGCCCTGAGGAAGCACTTCCGGGTCCACCGCAGGGCCCTCTGGCTGCTGCTCTCCTCCCCAGGACCCCTCCCGGGTGCCTCACCTCTCACACGTGTAGCATTCACAGTGCTCATTCTTCTCACCAAAGAAGCCCTCCCCGTAGAAGCAGGTCACCTCATCCCCCGGCTCAATGTCCCGAAGCACCTTCACGCAGGCCGCGTTCCCATCTGCGGGCACAAACTGGGGGCCCGGCTGCTCAGCGGCCTGTCCTGGGGGCGCCTGGCCAAGTGCACTCCCAGGGACGGGGACGGGGACAGGGACGGGCAGTGCAGGCGCAAACAGGGGGCCTGGCGGCCTGTCCTGGGGGCTGCCGGGCTCCACCCCGCCCCGCCAAGTGCACTCCCAGGGACGGGGACGGGGACAGGGACGGGCAGTGCAGACGCAAACAGGGGGCCCGGCTGCTCAGCGGCCTGTCCTGGGGGCTGCCGGGCTCCACCCCGCCCCGCCAAGTGCACTCCCAGGGACGGGGACGGGGACAGGGACGGGCAGTGCAGACGCAAACAGGGGGCCCGGCTGCTCAGCGGCCTGTCCTGGGGGCTGCCGGGCTCCACCCCGCCTGGCCAAGTGCACTCCCAGGGACGGGGACTGGGGACAGGGATGGGCAGGGCAGGCGCAAACAGGGGGCCCAGCTGCTCAGCGGCCTGTCCTGGGGGCTGCCGGGCTCCACCCCGCCTGGCCAAGTGCACTCCCAGGGATGGGGACGGGGACAGGGACGGGCAGGGCAGGCGCAAACAGGGGGCCTAGCGGCCTGTCCTGGGGGCTGCTGGGCTCCACCCCGCCCCGCCAAGTGCACTCCCAGGGACGGGGACGGGGACAGGGACGGGCAGTGCAGACGCAAACAGGGGGCCCGGCTGCTCAGCGGCCTGTCCTGGGGGCTGCCGGGCTCCACCCCGCCTGGCCAAGTGCACTCCCAGGGACGGGGACGGGGACAGGGACGGGCAGGGCAGACGCAAACAGGGGGCCCAGCTGCTCAGCGGCCTGTCCTGGGGGCTGCCGGGCTCCACCCCGCCTGGCCAAGTGCACTCCCAGGGCCTGGGACCAGGACAGGGATGGGCAGGGGCTGGGCCCCCGGGAGGCCACCTCTCTGCACACACTCCCGTACCTCCCGCCCAGTTGCTGGCCTCCACCCTCCCTGCAGGACGATGATCTAACTGGCCCCTGGCAGTGTTAGCAGCCCGCACTGCCTGCCCCCTCCGGCACTCTTCCTCCGCCCCCTCTGACCCGCCACAGCCCACCCCCCACTCCCCACCAGCCTGCACCCTGGCGGCCAGGTCCAAGCTCTGGCCGCTCCCTTCCCATGCCCGTCCACTCTGCAGCTCCAGTCTGGGACGGCTGCCCCACCGGCCACTCCTGCCCCTGCCTCTGCCCCCTGCCCCCGCCTCCTACCTTCTGCCCCACCCCCGGGAGGAGTGGGACTCCCATGGGTCCCTGCACTCCAGCCTGACACACACGTAGGTAGGGGTGGCTCTCACCACCGCCTGCCTGATCCCAGGCCAGCTTGCTGGAGCCTCTGTGTGCAGGGTCTTGCGTCTTTGTCCTCTCTATTCCCCTGGACTCTCACCCAGTTACACAGCAGGTCACACATCAGGTCACACGCCAGCCTCTGGCCCCTCTCCTTCCTGCCAAGCCTCTAGCTCCTCAGCTGCCAGACCATCTCAAAACCCAGCCCCATTATTCACCCAGGAGGAGCGTCCATGGCAGACTTGAGCTCCTCTGTGGCACGCGAGGCCAGAGTCACCATGCCGGGCCCGTCTCCAGGAGGCCCTCCACTGAGACATATCCGTCTGGGATGCCCTGACACGCCTCGGTTTTCCTTCAACACCTAGGAAAATCCTAGTCCTCCTCCAGCGCCTGGCTCTGGCAGGACTTCTGGACAGCCTCCCTGCTCCACATGGTGCCTGGCTCCTGGGCCCTCAGGTGGCTGCCACCCGCCTCACGACAGGGCCGTGTTTTCTGTCCTACCCTGCACGTTTCCCACCCCCAAAGCCACGTCACGGCCTGCAATCACAGAGCACAGGAACCATGGGTATGTGCTTCACCTCTGTAGCAGGAGGCCAGTGGAGAGGAGTGAACGCAGCTGGGGGCTGCTGGAGCCAGGACTCGAACCAGTTCTAACCCCGAAGCCCCAGTGCCGAACCCCCACCACACCTCAGGGCTCCACACTTGGCAGGATGCGCACTTCCCGAGACAGCTTTCTCACACTCCACACAAAACACACAGTGGTCCCCCCAAAACGCTGCCTCCCCAGCTCACTCCCTCTGCCTGGAAGCCCAGCCTCCCAGAGCCTCGTGCTCTGGGGCTCCCCCTGGCCCCACTCTGGTGGCACGGATTGGCAGGGTCCTGCCACCTGGGCCTCCTGCCTCCTGCTGTGGCCAGGGGGCATCTCCACGTCAGGCCTGGGGCTCCAGGTGCAGGGGCACTTTCTGTCTCCCCATCACCACACTCCCCCCTGCAAGTGGCACAGCCAGGACCCTGGCCGAGGCCCCCCCCAAACTCTCTGATAGACTCTGATAGCTGCAGGCACAAACTGGGTTGTGGCCGGGGTGGGGGACTCTGGGCACTTTCTGGCTAGTCACTGACCCAAATGCCCCTCTCCGGGGCCCCCTTGTTTCCCCCATGCCCACTCCTGAGGGGGGGGGGGCGCCCAAGTCTCACCTTGCAGTTGGGTTTGCAGTCTGGAGCATCAAGGAGAGGGCGGGGGAGAGAAGAGACTCAGGTGAGCGGAGGGCTGGGCAGAGGAGAGCGGGGGGCCACCCCTCCATGCCTCCCCCCCACCTGCCCTGCCCCCACCCCCACCATGGTTTATGAAGGCCGCGGGGCCCAGCCACAGCTGCGCACTGCGTTTTCGGGTGGAGTACATGATGCTGAAGTCGTTCTCCCCGGCCCTCAGCAGCCCCTCGTCGGCCTCCCGCAGCTCCGCGATGCAGCCCACCAGGAGTTCCAGCTTCTCGTTCTTCTTCCTGCCAAGAGGCCAGGCCGTAGGTCTGTGAGCAGTGCCTCCCATCACCGCCTCGGCTGACAGGGGTCTCTGGGGGCTGGGGCACCAGGCCTCCTGCAGGCCGCTGCTGGCCACTGTGGTCCTCCTCCCAGATTTCTCAGATCCACCCACCTTCCTGGGGCACTTCCTGGATCCTGCATCCTCCAGGACAGGATGGCGCCCAGACAGGACACCATGTGGACCCAGGCACCCCTCCTGCTGTCCTCTCGCCCTGGGATCCTCCTCCAGCCCCCACTTGTGCGAGGCCCAAGGGCTCCTTCGCCTGCACTCCCCATGAGCCCCAGTAACTCCCCGCAAGCTGCTATCCAGCCCGCCCCCGCCACGCTTCGGCAGACCCTCTGGTGGGCCTCTGCTTAGGCCCGGTTCCCAAGAATACTCAAAATTCCCTTGTGGCTGATGAAGCACCAAGGAACTGAGGTCAGTACCTGTGTGTGTACTCAGCTACCACCTGCCTTCTGTCTACACTGTGAGCGGCCGGCAGGGTCCATCCTGCTCACTGTCCTGTCCCTTCCCCAGCAGTGGGTGCTAGGCCCCACTGGCACCAAGGGATGCCTGCCCCACTGGCCACTCCTGCCCCTGCCTCCTGAGCACAAACGGTACTTCCTTAGCAGGCCCTGGAACCCTGGGGTCCCATAGGTTCCCATCCCCCATCAGGGCTGCTGTAGGCGAAGAGGGTCTGTGAGCTCCGCCCCCTTACCAAGCTCTGGTAGACACAATCTTGGCTCCATTTGTCTCCATGGAATAGCGTGTACAGGGCAGGATGATAAAGCCGCTTTCAGGCAGGAAGGCTCGGAGGTAGCGATAGATCTGGGGGAGGTGAGGGGGTGGGCGGGGTGAGGAGCTGGGGCAGGGTCGTCCTCGGCCCTCTCTCTCCTGGGTCCTAGTCCTGCTCTGCCACTGACTTGCTGTGTGGTCTTGGGGGACTCACTTCCCCTCTTGGGGGCTCAGTTTCTTCATCTGTCAAATGGAGAGGTTGTACTCCATCTCAGAGGACCCCCGACTCTCCTCTCCTTGGATTCTCTGAGCCTCGTCTCAGATGGTCCCAACGGCTAGGAAGTTAGGGAGTCTGGGGCGGGGAACTTCATCGAGGGGTCTGGAGCCTGGGGCTCCAGACGTTCTGCCTGGCAGGGTGGAGGACCCAGGACAGGCCGAGGTGACAGGGAGGACGCGTGGACTGAGGGTGGGGGAAGGGAAGGGCGCCCTCACGTGGGTCTTGAGGGCAGCCTCCTGCCGCGGGCCCCGGCTCTGGAAGTAGTGGGCCATCCAGCCTCCCAGCGTCAGGGCCCGGTACGCAGCCTCCAGGTCCCGCTGCCTCAGGAAGGCCTCCAGCGCTGAGCGCAGGTGGTGCTGTCGCCGCAGGGGGGGCACGGGGCTGGGGGAGAGGGCACGCCTGGGTCCCAGGGCCTTGGCCTATTCCCTCCGGGCCTTCCCGGGCCCCGCCCCCACCCCCACTCGGGGCTGCAGGGGCCGTGGAGGAAGGGAAGGGGTCCCCGCGGAGCCCTCGGCCCACCCTGTCCCAGGCCGCCTCACCTGACGTTCATCTTATGGGTGCGGAAGCCGAGGTAGGGGTCCAGGACAAGGCTGGTGGCAAGGTCGTCATTCTCACACAGCTCTCTGGCTGTCACTCTGTCAGGTCCCATGGTGCCCCACGGACCATGCTGCCTCTGGCCCAGAGTGGAGGGCGCAATGGAGGGGCAGGGGCAGCGCCCCGGGACTCCCACTTCTGAGCTGCCGAGGATTTGGCAAGCCTTTCGGTCTCCAGTCTCATCTACAAACCAGGGAGTAAAGGCAGGCTGACTTCACAGGGCTCTCAGCGAAGACGGATGCAACAAGTACTTCCGACAGTGGGGAAGCCCCCCAAAGAAACGTCAGTCACCGTCATGAGGATCTTCATGCTCTGGAGCACAGACACCAATCCCCCAAGCCCACACGACCACCTGCTGAGCACACCCACACACTCACACGTAGGTTCCCTCATGTCCCCACGCGCGCGCGTGCGTGCGGGCACACACACACACAAACACACACACACACACAGGGGCGCACGCACGCACAGTCCCTACTGGCCCAGGCAAGGCTGATTAATTGGCAGTCGGGGATAACCCTAAAGGCTTAGCCCTGCAGGAGGTGGGAGTCGGGGGAATCCATCTCCACCTCCAGCCCTCACCAAGGAAAAATCCAAGGCTTCCCACCCGCTAGGACTGACTGTTCCTCCACCCACCCCCATGCTTGTTGGCCTCAGCCTCCACCTCCCTCCTGTCCCTCCCATCCTCCCCAACCCCCCAAGCAGCCCTTGGGAATCATCAGGAGGCTCTGGGTGCAGCCCCAGGCAGCCTGGAGGGGGGTGAGGGGAGGGAGAGCAGAGGACGGATCCCAGCACCTGCTCCCTCTCCAAGGATTCTGGGGGAGGGGGGGCTCAGAGGACAAAGCGGGGAAGGGGAGAGAGAAAAGGAATGATATGGAGAAGCAGAACAGGTCTATAAAAAGGGGAGAAAGAAGGGAATTAGCAAAAGGAAACAAAACAAGACCCCTAACCCTGACTACGGAGGGCCTGCTGGGCATCCAGACCTTGGTGCTTCAGGGAGAGTCCATAGGGGATGGCAGGGAAGGGGGAGCAGAAGACGGATCAGCAGCTAGAGCTGGGGGGAAAGGGGTTCTAGAAAAGACAGGAAGGCTGGGGATAAAGAGGGGGCGCTGCGAGAGGGCGCCGGGACAGAGCGGAAGCTGCAGAGAGGCATGTGGGGAAAGACAAAATACACAGACTGCACAGAGGGGAGCTGGGCAGGGAGAAGGGCCGGGGGTGCCTGCTGGACACAGAGCACGGCGGAAGGCCTGGGGGTCACGGATGACCCCACCGAAGCCAGAGTGGAGACCTGGGGTCGACGGTAGGTCCTGAGGAGGTGGAGGGGGGCCTAGGGGTCCATAGCCGGGCTTGGAGAAGCAGAGAAGGGGCAAGTCCTGCGCGTGCAGGGAGGAGCGAGCCTGGGGTCCAGGTAGGGACCTGGGCAGGCACTGAGGGTCCAGGAGCGGGGGCTGAGGTCCGCGGGGCGACACTGGGGAAGCAGACAGGGGCCTGGCAGGCAGCGAGAGTGCAGGGGAAGGGCCTGAGGTCCAGGGAGGGGAGTAGAGTCAGAGGGCGACCCGAGGGGTCCGCTCAGGCCCGGGAGTGCGGGGAGGGGCCTGGGTGAGGAAGCACAGGGAAGGGGCTGGGCGCCCGGGGCAGCCTGAGGCCCGCCGAAGGGCCGGGAGACGTGGGCGCCTGGACACGAGGAGGGGCCGGGCGGGGCGGGGGACGGTCGGGGCTGGGGGCGACCGGGAGCCAAGGCGGCGCGGGCTGGGGGCCGAGAGGGGACTCAGAGGTCGGGCCCCGCGCCGCCCCTCACCCGCTTCTCCTCCTCCTCCTCCTCCTCAGGCACCCGCGCCGCCGCCGCCACCACCTCCCACTGCCTGCTCCAGCTCTCGTCAGACACGGTCGCCGCTCCTCCCGTCTGCGCCGCCGGGCCCGCCCCGCCGCGGCCATCGGGAGCTCCCATTGGCCGAAGCCGCCGCCACTCCTCAGTGGCTGCGGCGCTCACGCCGCTCCCATTGGCCGAGTCCGCTCGGCCCCTCCCCGCCTGCCCTCCCGTTCGTGCCCCTATGAAACCCCGCTCCGCCGGCGCCGCTGCCAAGCGCCGCCGACTGCGGCTAATGGCTCCTGTTGCTGTCATTCCACCGCTGCCATGGAGACTTGCCCCGCCCACCGCTCGGAGTCGACGCCCTCATTGGCCGAGAGCGTCGAGGCTCCAGGCTAAACTCGGGTTTGGGTCAGGTTATTCGGGTCCAAGTGGAAAGGGGGCGGGCTCAGCCGGCTCCACAGCGCGCGCGTGATTGGCTGGCCCTGGAATGGCTCGTCCTTCCATAGGCTAAGGCCTCCGCCCGTCACCGTAGAGTCGCGACTGGCCCATTCTCTTTCTCCGGTGAAACCTTCGCGAACCGCGGGGAGAAAGCTGGGGCGGGCGCGAGGGGTGGGTGCGCGGGCGCCTCCGTCGACCCCGCCCGGCCTGCCGTTGCCAAGGAGACAAAAGTTTATTGACAGTCCTGCCCAGCTACAAAGGGCGCCTCGCTCTTCCTCTCTGCTCGACGACCTTCTCCGCCCCACGGACCCCGGTTAATTTCGGGAGCACCCACGGGAGCTCTGCGGGTGAACGGGTCGCAAAGGAGGAGCCCGGGAAGCGGGGCCTTTGGAGAAGGCTCCCACGGGGCAGCCCCCTCCCCCAGTTGGGATCACCAACCTGCTCCAATCCTGGAGGCATCCATAATTAGCAATTCGTCGTAATTACGCCCAGAATAATAAGCTCCGCGCTTGGAGCAGGCGGTCTTTGTTTTGCTCAGTGCTGTGCATCACGGTGCGCTTCGAACAATGCCTGGCACGGAGTAGGTGCTTCCTTAATGTGTACTGAATGAATGAATGAATGAATGACCCGCCAGTGAGGATGAAGCGGGCAGTTTCTGCGTCGCTCTGTGGACGGAAGGAAGTGGCTTGCCCTCTCTGGCCCTCAGATTAGCGTTTGTAAAACAAGGATCACACTGGTCCCTCTCTGAGGGTTTCTCCTTAACACCCTCCTGGGTGTCTTCAATAGCGCTTCCAGCATCCCCACCCCCATCTCTGTTTATGCTGTTCCTTCCCCAGCTGGGACTACCCCCTCTGAGACTGCTCTCCCCAACCGAGGTACCCTCTACAGCCCCCCAGTAAGGATGGCCACAGCTCCAGAGGACAGCAACGGCCAGCAAGCAGAGAGGACTCCAAAAACTGAGCTCTCTGGCAAAGTCCAAAGTCCTATCAGTATGTCTGAATCTTAGAAGCGCATTCCTTATGTACACCCTCGAGAAACACTCGCAGATGTGAGCAGAAAGATAAGCTCCCAACAGTGTTTGCAGTGATGAGAAAACAAAAAACAAAAAACTGGAAACGGCTTAAATGTCCATCACATGAAGAATGGATAAATGGATCGTGACGTACTCATACAGGGGAACACCATACAGCAGTGAAAGGGAATGAACCAGCATTCCGGATATCAACCTGGACAACCGCAAAGCATGTTGCTGGTTGTGGAAGTCCGCATAGTTGAGTGCGGGAAGTTTTAAAGCACAAAACACAAGGGTTGTGTGTGGATGCGTGTCTTAAATGTGTATAAACATGCATTGGCGTGACAAAAGTAGGCGCAAGGCCCTACCGCTGACCCCTGCAGGTGGGACGGAAGGAATGCAATCAGGAAGCCACACAGGACATTGATATTTGCACTTTTTTTTGTAAGCCCAGAGGTGGAAATCATGAGTTCGCTATATTCACTATCTGTTGTTTTTCTATGCGTCAAAAGATTTCTTAATATGAATAAAAATTTGACCTGCCGGGTGCCTGGGTGGCTCAGGTTATGATCCCAGAGTCCCACCTCAGGCTCCCTGCTCAGCGTGGAGTCTGCCTCACTGCCCCTCCCCCGGCTCGTGCACTCTCTCTCGTGCTCTCTTCTCTCACTGTTTCTCAAATAAATAAATAAAATCTTGGGGGGAAAAAATTGACCTGCCAATGCCACTGCCAGGGTTTTATTCGAAGGAAATAACTGACAAGTGTTAAGATATTTATATATAAAGATGTTTGCCTCAGTGTTGTTTAAAACACAGAAAAATAGAAAGAGCCTTAATGTCCAACAATAGAAGATTGGTTGGATCACTTAGAGCAAATCCACCAGATGGAATAACGACAATGCCTAACAGTTACTGAGCTCTTAGCACAGGCCAGTGATTTTGCAAATAGCCCTGCGGGGAATGGGCTGTTGTGACCCCCATTGTACAGATGAGCAAAGTGAGGCTTACAGAGGGGATTGAACAGGCCATCAGACACCAGGTTTACTCTCAAACTCTGGGCTGTGGCGCCCAGATAGCATCCAGCGGGTTCTCAATCTCAGATGGCATAGCAAGGGGCACCCCAGAGAAGGCCTGAAACTTGGACACATGCTATAACATAGATGGACCTTGCAAACATGCCAGGTAAAAGGAGTCAGACACAAAAATTCACCTATGGAATTATTCCATTTCTTTTTTCCTTTTTTTTAAAGATTTTATTTATTTATTTTAGAGAGCATGCGTTCAGCGGGGGGTGGGGGGTGCGGGACAGAGGGAGAGAATCTCAAGCCTACTCCCCACGAGTGTGGAGCCCCATTTGGGGCTCGATCTCACGACCCTGAGATCATGACCTGGGCGGAAATCAAGAGTCGGATGCTTAACCAACTGAGTCTCCCCCCTCCCCAGGCACCTGGGAATGATTCCATTTCCAAGAATTTTCCAGAATAGGTAAATCCATATACACAGAAAGCAGATTCATGATTGCCAGGGGCTGGAGACGGGGAGGTGGGGAGGGACTAATAATAGGTATGGGGTTTCCTTTTTGGATGAAGAGGTTCTGGAACTAGAGAATGGTGATGTTGCAGAACATCGTGAATGTACATAAAGCCATTGAATTGTATACTTCAAAATGGTTAAAAGGGTAAATTTGATGTTAAGTATATTTTACTACTGAAAGAGAGAGAGAGAGAGAGAAATAATCATCTGGGGAATATAGTGAAAATATAGATTCTAAGTCTCAGCCTCCAAAAAGCCCGGTTGAGTATTTAATAATAAATCATTTTATTTTATTTTATTTTTTAGATAATTATTCTTTTTTTAAGGTATTTATTTATTTATTTATTTATTTATTTATTTGATATATAGAGAGAGACAGCAAGAGCGGGAACACAAGCAGGAGTGGGAGAGGGGGAAGCAGGCTCCCCACTGAGCAGGGAGCCCGATGCGGGGCTCAATCCCAGTACCCTGGGATCATGACCTGAGCCGAAGGCAGGCGCCTAACGACTGAGCCACCCAGGCGCCCCTAATAATTAATCATTTTAGGACAGTGCTGCCCAAGTGTAGCCTGTGTCCCCGCAGCTTCAAGCAGGATCACATGGGTGCTTGGTGGGAATGAAGAATTTTGGGCCACATCCCAGAATTCCGGAATCAGAATCACCCAGACTAGTGGTTGGAATGCTCTGGAATGCTTGAGAAGCAGGCCATAGAGAATACCTTTGCAGGTGGCTTCTTCAGACTACACATTCACAGGCTGGAGGGATGTTGTGGGCTTAGTAACTCCCAAAACTTGTTATAAGACCATAAATTCAGGATGACCATATTTTGAGGGGAAAGGGATATGTATATATAAATTACATGATTGGGGACAAGGATGTGGAGAAAAGGGGACCCTTGTGTCTGCTGATGGGAATGTAAGTTGGTGTAGCCGCTATGGAAAATGGTATGGTGTCTCCTTAAGAAATTAGAAATAGAAATGCCATATCATCCAGCAATCCCATTTCTGGATATATACCAAAAGAAAATGGTCACTATTGCAAAGAGATATCTGCTCTCTCGTGTTTACTGCAGCATTATTCACAACGGCCAAGATGTGGAAACCATCTGAGTGTCTGTCGATGGGTCGATGACAAAATGTTGGGTATGTATGCATGATAGAATATTATTCATCTGTGAGGAAGAAGGAAATCCTGCCATTTGCAACTATATGGAAGAAGCTGGAGGCCATGCTGCTGAATGAGATAAGATAGAGAAAAACAAATACTGCACAAACTCCCATGTATGTGGAATCTTAAAAAAAGGTTGAACTCATGGAAGCAGAGAGCGGGAAGGTGGTTACCAGGGGTTGGGGAAGGAAGGCGAGATGTCAGACAAGGGTACACACTTAGAGTTATGAGATGAATGAATGGCCAGAGTTAACAATACTGTATTGTATACTTGAAGTTTGCTAAGAGAGTAGATCATAACACACACACACACACAAAGGGTAACTGTGAGGTGAGGGATGTGTTAATTAGCTTCATTGTGGTGATCATTTCACAGTGTGTATGTATATTAAGCCATTACACTGTGTACTTTATTTTTTTTTTAGATTTATTTATTTGTCAGAGAGAGAGAGAGAGCACAAGCAGGGGGAGTGGCAGGCAGAGGGAGAAGCAGGCTCCCCCCTGAGTAGGGAGCCTGATGTGGGGCTTGATCCCAGGACCCCGGTATCATGACCTGAGCTGAAGGCGGACGCTTAACCGGCTAAGCCACCCAGGTACCCCTACTGTATACTTCAAATATATAAAATTTTGTTTGTAAATCGTACCCCAATAAAGCTGGGAAAAAATAAATGGTTGTGGGGGAAACTGTCTCTCTGTTTTCATGTATGACTTGTGTAATGACCAAACGTATATAATAAAAGAATAAAATATAAGTATTACATACCGTGTGTTAGTTTATAAACACCTATATCCACATACATACTTACGTATACGT